TCAAACTCATTTTTTGTCGCAGGCCACTTGCTTCCCCCTCAGAGGGCGGGTGCAAAAGTGTGTTTCAGTCCCCAACTTACCAGGATGTTGCCCATGGGTCCCCCCTCATCCTCTCCATAGGTGGAAATAATGACGTTGACGTTCTCGATGATACGCTGGAAGGTCCTAAACAGCTCATCGGTCTCCAGCTGAAGTTCCAGCAGAGCCCGGTCCATTTTGTTCATCATCAGAACTGGCTTGATGCGCTCAGCAATGGCCTGCCGCAGTACGGTCTCCGTCTGCACGCAAACCCCTGCCAGAGGAAATAAGAGATGAGCCTAACCGGAGGAGATTCACACCTGGGGGAGGATGTTTGAAGGAGATTACCAGAGACACAGTCCACCACCACCAAGGCACCATCGGTCACCCTGAGGGCCGCCGTAACCTCGGACGAGAAGTCAACGTGACCCGGAGAATCGATGAGGTTGATGAGGAAGCCGTTCCCATCTTTGCACTGCTTGATGAAGGCCAAGTCTTTGTCATCGAGCTCATAGTATAAGGAGATGGCCCTGCAAGAACAGGAAAGAATGACGCCACTTCATTTTGATATCTGGTATAAAGTGTAGCCGCCACCACATGGGTCATTTTTAATTGTTTTTTAGCAAGACTTCCATGATCGACAACTACGACTGGGGAAACCTGTCATGGCCTACATGCTTTGTCGCTTTTGTGTTTATTCCATTGAGTCCAAAAGAGCTTGAAGGCACATACGTCGATTTGATGGTGATGCACCGCTCTTGCTCGTCTTTGCGCGTGTCTGTGAAACGAGTCTCTCCGGCGCGGGATGAAGCGATGATGCCCGCCTTGGATACCAGCGAGTCCGTCAGCGTGGACTTGCCGTGATCCACGTGGGCGATCACGGACATGTTCCTGATGTTGGACTTCTTGTCCATGATGGCTCGGATCTGGTCCACCGTGAAGTTAACCTGGTGAAACATCCTTACCTTTACTACAAATGGAAGCGCATTTCATTCCCGGTCTCTTAATTCATGTCCACTAGGTCTGCAACCGTTCCAAGTTGAGTTATAAAAAGAAAGTCATTCTGAAACTGAATCTATCAGGCTGGCAATGAGGACTAAGGCAAACGTTGTACTTTGGTATACTGCCAGCACACTTTTGCTGTCTGAGCAGCCTTAACAATTTGTAGTCAATGCTAACAGAAAAAAATGACTATACTAAGCCTTAAATTCACCCAATTCTAACCACTATACATAAACATCCCCACAATGTGTGTTACAAAACATGGGCTGGCGAAGTCAGAGTGTATAATAAGGTTGTCATTCATCACTACCCACCCACCTATATATACAGTACTCCCTCTCCATGTTTTATGATACTACACTGATTATTATTGTTGTTTTCTCACACGTGCACAATGTCATGTTAAATTATCTCAATTGTAACTTTTTCCTTACAAAAATAATAATCACTGTCAGGGATGGCAACGTAATTATCTGCAGTTAGGGATTTGAATCTGTGTGGAATTGGGACGTACTCTAGGTTTTGGTATAGTCGGCTCATTATATAATTATGTAAACATAACAAAATGATTTACTTTTGAAATCAGATTGGTTCCAAAAATGCTTGTAATATCTTAATGTTATTTTAAAAAAAACAACAACAATCTGATGACATTATTACAACCGAAATTAAGTATCCTTATCCAAAATTGGGCAGTATTACTCATGCGAAAGTGTCCCGAATTTTGTGGCACAAATAAACGTGATAAAACGTCCGTATTTAGTCAACACATTAACTTTATTTAGCCCGCATCCCGCGATTAAGTCTCATTTTAATGGGCGAAATTTAATGCGCAGTACATGCAACTTCCTGTATTTATGCAACCGTCTTTTAAATCACGTTACGTGGTTGATGCGAGTGAAGCCAACGTCATCCCTGGATTCCGTTTTGTAATAACATGTTTATTGGATATGACGCCAAGCAACGGCATATAAAAATAATGCTTTGCTATGGTCGTCACTGCGGAAAGTAGGCCGAGGCTACAGCCTTGCATCGTTTAATATTTTTCAGTTTTTTTTTTTTAATCACTGAATCCCCCACACAGGCGCACATACCACCAGACGTTGGCACCCAAGTTCGCCACACACTCCCATGCCCATACATATACACGCAAACACATACACGGGCTCTATACGCGCCTCGTAGCGTTCATGCAACAACAACCTAGAGGTTATTTTTGTAATCTAGCGACTGATGAGCCACGACAGATTGTTGAGTGCGTACATGTAGTCAACGCGAGTCGAAACAGACTCACCATGTTGACAATTTGGGTATCTTCGTCACGTTATTGCTTGCGGAACGCCGCGATGGGAAAGTGCGTACGGAGACGCCGCAGTTGAGCCAGGCTGCGCTGAGGCGCCTGATCAGCAGAGGGCGCTAGCGTGCTCCTCTAACGGCAGGCCCGGTTTGTGAGGAAAAAAAATGTCATGTGCGCTGAACAAAAACAGAAACGTAACGCTTTCGTAACACTTTTGTTTTTGCTCTAATTTCCATGAGGATATATCAAATCTATTTTTTGATGTACACAAAAGTTCTATTTATCTCAAGCACTGTTCATAAATCTGTCTAAATTTGCTGAGATAATCCATCCACCTCACGCGGGTGTGGCACATCAAGATGCTGATGAACAGCTTGAAAACTCAGAGGTCAGGTCACTTGTAGATCAAGGTACCACTCATCATAGGTACTTATTAGTAAATGTTTTGCTGGTCAAACTTTGCTGGCACACGTTATTTTCTAACCAATCAGTAAGAGGAGTGAAAAAAAATCGAGTATTATTTATTGTCCGATTTGAAATCTGACACCCACCACTGATCTATTCTGAATTGTCTATTCTCTTTAGAGATCGGAACCCTTGAACGTCCGAACTGTTAAGAAAACTAAGTGTGCGAACAACAACTAGCCTTCTGGTTAACCTTTGTATGATTTAAAAAAAAAGGACAGCAACGTCGGCTTCATGCATTAGCATTTACGGCGTAAACAACCACAATGACCCTTCAAAAACTTCTCGAACGTGATGGACCTGTCTTGGCTTAAAAAGTGCTGCATTTGCAGACCTCCACCAGGTGAGGGCAGAGCAGGACAGAAATTGTGGCGTGAAAAAGAAGTGCAGAAGCAGTGAGATGAAACCTCTGATGCTGTAAAGGGCGTTCTTGCGATCTCACGAGACCTCGCGAGAACAAGGAGAACTGAAAAACAGTACAGCAGATTTCTCCTGATGGCACACAATTGAATTTCACATAAAGTGAAGATGTCTTCATCGGCCGAACACCGGAAAGCCAGTCAATCAAATCTGAAAATGTGTTCAGTAGCTCATGCCATTTCTCTCTCTCTCTCTCTCTCTCTCTCTCTCTCTCTGAAATGTTACAAAATACTTGATTGAGTGATACTATTCAGACAAAGAAAAAGTAGGAATGAAAAATATGAGCCATTTACTATTTGGGTTACATACAGTGGTGGGGTGGCCATCGGGAATTTCGGGAAAATACATTAATTTTCCCGAAGGCAGGTGTATTTCTGGGCCAATCCCGGACATCAGGGTCAGCTAAATACAATACCAAAAAAATCTGACATTTTGGATGCAGGTCGTTATAATCTGATAGTTTTTTTAGGTGGCTGATATTGGCCCGATATCCTATATCAATATGGGATCGGGACACCCCTACAGACAAACAATGATTTTGCACACATTTTGCAGCATGACGTGCATTTCATGGCTGTTAGTGATAATTCATGCGGTTGCTGGCCTTGGTGTTTATTATTTATATAGCCATTTTTTTTCTTATTTTAAGACTCATTCTGAAGCATCTGTGGTACTATCTTTGCTGAATCGCTATTCTAAAAACATTTAAGGGGGCACATAGATCCATAAGAAAAATGAGATTGTGCATGTAGCACAAGATCAATTATCTGTGTTATTCTTGGTATTGAGAGATGTGCTTGACATGTCCTTCTTAGGTCATATCTGCATGTACTTTGAGACGCTTCACTCTACAGATAGAGAAACAATAAAGATAGTAGAATCTTGTTATTATCCTTATTACCGTACTGATAATAAGTATGTGGATGCATGTAAGTGGATTTTAAATGCAAGCTAATATATTTACGAGTGCCAGTAGACTGAATGATATTAATCAGTTCATTCAGTGGCCATATTAATGTAATGAGATCGTCTTTGTGAAAGAGAAATGAAGGCCCCAGTTTTCTTTTAATACTTCTTTGCTTTCAAGTCTTTTTGAACACGAGTTCTCAATGAGAGATGTATTGCAGTGATATCAATTCTGTTCAGACTCACGTGAGCTGTAAAATTAATGTTACATGTCAAAGACTCGGATTCATTTTTATCTGGTCATCCAAATTCAATAGAAAAAGTCACCCACGCTGTAAAAATTCGTTTTTAAAATCAAGAAAAAAAAAGTCATGAAACGTCTTACTTAATTTAGGGTAAATGATCGAACATGAAAATGTAACTTTTGCAAGATTTCACAAATAAATGACAAGAGTAAAGAGGTATTTGAAATTCTCTGATAGGCTGAATGAAATTGTTATAATTAGTCCTACACATGTTTTTTTTTTTTTTTTCAACAAGCCATCTGGCCTGGTCTTATCTGGTGTCCCATAGCATAGCATGTTGTAAGTTGGTCATCATAGTGTAAACGAAACAAAACAAAACATGACCCCGGTAAAATATTGGTAAAATATTTCCACACGCTTGTAAACTGTACTGCAACAAGTGCTTATGGCACAGTGCTGTGAAGTTGGTGCATACAACGATATGAGTCGAATTGTCGTGAGCACACATATGTTGCCTGTACACGTTATTGGAGATTTAATTTGGGTTAGATTTTCGTTTTTTTTTTGTTTTGTTTTGTTTTTTTGCAGTGGTGCACTGTTTGTGTTAATGTGATTTTTTTTTTTTTTTATGAATTGGGTCACACGCACCACTACATAGGTGGTCTTTAAAACATTTCATTTTTTGAAGACAAGAGGGTGTTTATAACACTGGTTTATATATGACAATACTAACAATATGGGGAAAAAAATGCTTTAGCATTCAACCAAAGCTCACCAACGGAAACGTGGCACAACACTAATTTGTGCATGGAAACGTTCTGATCCTTCTGCTCATCACGCTCAGATGATGATAATACATTTTTGCAAGTGCACATGTTCCTGAGCATCTTATGTAATTCCTGACTTAATTGGGTGTACCCTTAATAAAAGCATGAGACAGATGGCCTTTATTATGGCACTAAAGATAAGGAAAGACATGGTGTGTTCCCTCTGACTGAGAGAAGATTATCGTATACCCGGATAGAAAAGAGAAAACAAAACTGTTGCAGGACTGAATGAAATTCTAACATATGAACCGTGACTGGGGAGCAGAAGGGAATTTTTGAATCTATTTGGAAAACAATGTGTTTGTTTGAGGACTCAACAGTGTAGTCCACTTGACACAGACTGTAAGAAGACGTAAAGACACTCCAAAGTGAGTTCAGTGATTTGTTTATGAATATGCTGAAAAGATGTGAAAGACTGAGAATTGGGTAGTAGGCAAGCTGTTTTTCATCATTTTAATTTTTCCAGATGTTTGGGGGGTGAGGGCGTGGGGGTCAAAAATGGTGCCCCAATCACATTTGGCGTCAATCACGTTCCCATCAGTGGCAATCTGGCGCAATTACAAGTTAATTCATATTTTTTAGTCACTCCATCTCTACCAATATAGCGTGGAGTTAGCCAGCATGTTAGCTGTGCTTACACCCCGAAAATGTATCTGCCCTGTAATTACAGAACTTCCTAGTGTCAAAATATTTTGGTATTCAATGTCATGAAATTCAATGTTTTATGTTGGAACACAAAGCCTTGTGGGTATAAAATTAGCAAGAAGTATGAGCTGAAATGTCTGTCATTTCATGTTAGCCACATACTGAAGCATGTGTGCCGCCAAACGGTTGACTCGTTCCTGAAAGTGCTTCTGTTCTGTGGATCCATGAACTAGATGTATGTGAACACAACCATGTAAGGAATGTGAAACCACAAGAATTTCTGGCCGCCTTGACAGATCATTCTGCTCAATGTGTTGTAATTGGTTTTCTGAGCTGTTGACGAAACATGATTGGACACCGGTCAGCTGGGATGGGGGAATGAGTGAGCGATATGGAACTTCAACTTTGTCCTCTGAATCATACTTAGACGTTCTTCTAACGCTCAAGCCACAGAGGAGTGTATTGATCCGACCGAGTGTTTGGATTCTGCGTTCTTTTACTGATATTTCATCACCTTGTTGGATTATCAACACTGGGCACGGTTAGAGTGTGACAAGCTCGCCTTCAGGTTGAGAGGAGAGACAAACAATTTTTGTCAGGTCTCGGCGGAGAACAAGTAAGTACTCGGGTGACAGGTGGATTTAGCGCTGTATCTCAAAACAGTAATTTAACTTTTAGATTATGTAGATATTGTATTAAATTAAAAAAAAAGTGTGAAGCATTTTGACGCTAGAAAATTTGTTTTTTGTCAAAAATTGAGTCAAAGTTGAGCCTGGTAAAGTCATTGACAAGTGAGGTTTATTCCGGCTATACTTGCATTGAAGAAACTTTAAAGTTAAATTTTGATGTATACATCCATGAAGTCAAAGAATCCCCTTAGTACTGAATGAGTATAAATACAACTTTTTACAAGAATGCGGAAAAGAATAAATACCTCCATTATCTCATCTGTTTATGAACAGTGGCTTAAAAAAAACTACTACAACATAGTTCATTTAAATTGCTTGAAACAGGAATTTGCATTAAAAAAAAAACAACAAAGTAATATTTTCCAAGATAAAGTTGTTATGATAATAAAGGAAAGGTTTAACATGGAAGAAAGTCATATTTTAATCTACTTTTTATTCAAATGGATTTTATTTCACAAAGATGCCATTTAATACATTTCCCTAGACAGTATTTTCAGAACAATATGCCATTTGTTTAAAAAACAAACAAACTGATTTTTGTCATAATGCACTTTAAAAATATATTATTAAAAAAAAAAGTCATGCAGGATGTCAGATTTATGTGATATATGTCATATTCACATCACAGCTTTTTAATTGCACCAAAGCTAAGATAGGCAGTGATAATTGGTTTACGGTGTTCCCTCGCTACCTCACGGTTCGGTTTTTGCAGCTTCACTCGAGTGCGGATTTTCATTTGTGACCATAACTTGATGTATTGCAGTTTTACTTTGCCGTTTTAGCACGTCTTCTTGCTACTTTTCTTTCTTCAGTCCCCCCCTCCAAAAACATTTTGATTTTCTTTGGAGGGCGGAGGTGGTTGTTTTGCAAAAAAAAAAAACGAGACCGGTATGTATTTAAGATAGCTCGGCATTTGTTCTACACTTTGCATTTGGAATGTATCACCTGCGAAAAGTGATGGAACACTGTATTATGTATGTTTTATTGTCACACTGATCCCTCAATATAGGTATGCAGTATGCATTTTATAAAATGACACAAGATTATCATACATGACTATTATTATTAGTTTGGCAATCACTAGGAGTAAAGAAAAACATTGTATTATAGTTGTCCAGTATCCAGACCATTTTTTTTTTTTGGTGAGTTGTTTCTTAAAATTAACAATGACAATGTACTTGGCATAGCACTGGTCCTCATTTTCCTCTATTCAGGTGAAAGCTGGGATGGATGTCATTGATCTGCTGTTCAGGACCAAAGATGAACCGAGCAGTTGCCACGGCAAGACACCTTGGAGCATCAGTATGTGTGACGTAAGTACACTGCTCATTCTGCAGTGCACCTCTGAACACAGGCGCTCTGAGAGGACTCCAATAAATGCAATGTGAATGAAGGGCATGTGCTATAAATGTGTTCTCCTATGTAGCTGCGCCGCAAGGCACCACTGCACTAAGTGTAGTATGACTGTATCCACGATGCTGATGCAAAACTTGATTCATTATTAATCTGTTTTTATGGAATTAAATACCATGGAAAAAAGTTTTTTGGGGAAGCTGGAATGGATTAATGACATTTCCATTCATTTCAATGGGGAATGATGATTTGTGATATGAAGGTGGTCATAGAAAGACTTAAACCTACAAATCAGGGCACCACGGTATTTGGAATAGAACGCCTTTGCTTGGGGCTTTAACAGTAGTCCACGCGGAACAGAAACAGCAGTGCAGAAAAGCAAAAAGACATGACAAAAAGTCAATAAATCGTTGCAAGCCATGATGTATACAGTACGTTCTGTACATACTGACCTCCGCAGACGCTGAGCCCGGAGGGAAAAAGTACGGAAGACTTTTTGGACTTACTGCTGGCTGGGAGTGAGTCTTCCTCAGGTCCGACGTCCCCCCCGTGGTCACCCTGCACCCTGGACAGCGATATGTGCGAGGAGCCATTGGCAGACAGCCTCCGACTGCCTTCCTGCACTTCATCTCCAGGCTTGGACATGCCGCTGCCTCACCTCACATGCGTGCAGCTTCCACCCTACAACCGTGAAAATGAAATCACGTCCCATGTTTCCATTGATCTGGGTAGGATTTCGTTTCTAATTCACAAGTGATGATGCCATTTAAATATTTGCTTATAATCTGCTGTTGGACAAAAAAAAAAAAATCCCACAATTTGTCTCATATCTACATATTTGCTTATAATCTGCTGTTGGACAAAAAAAAATCCCACAATTTGTCTCATATCTATGTAAGAGGCTGGGTTACAAATAGACGACCATTTACTCCTGCGTGCTGTAGAACAGGGGTGTCGAACTCATTTCTGTCGCAGGCCGTTTTGTAGTTACGTCCTCCCTCATAGGGCCGTTGTCACGGTGAAACCAAATCAGTGGTTAATCATTTCATCGTATTATTATGCATACGCAACAAATGAATGTATGACTAGTTCTGAAGTCGGAAATCGCGTTGACAGGCTGGGAGTCTGACAGCATCCAGGAAAAACTGGGAATGGCATATTACCTCACATCGAATCAAAGCACCACCACCTCGTCCAGTCAGACGCTCACGGTGAAGGACTTGCTCTTATCCAATCTAGGAGAGAAGGTAAGCAGAGAAACTGTACAGTATTCCTCTGAGTAGTTTCTTTTCTGTCTACATGTGTTGCTCCACTTTTTGGGTTCCAGGGCCTGTTGCTTCGTACTTAATATAACACTGCAACATTGATGTCATTTGTTAGCCTGTCTGTGGCATTTTTATCACCATGAAGCTAAATGTTGTTCAATTTGACAGTAAATTTAAACTGGGGGGCTGGGGGGGGAATAAAATAATGTAAATTGTATCAGTCATATCTCAAGGCATCGCTGCACAGGGACAGACAGCCAGTCAATGTGAACTGAACCCAAGCATCCCACAGACAAATGAACCACTGCGCCACCAGTGACCCAATAAAAACGTGATGATTTTAATCACATTATTTGTGAAAGGAGGGAATTTTTTTTTCCTTCAAGAAATCTCTCTGCCTGAAATCCAATTACAATTCCTTCATTAGGTGCCCTTTCAGGGCTTGTGCACCAATACCACATACCCTACAGTTGAATAAGGAATGATGGTTAAATCCAGCATAGTCCTCGGGTGCTCCCCCCTCGTTACAACCCGCGTAGGGTTTTTTTTTTTTAAGCGCGCTGCTTGGACCTTTCGGTTCAGTGAATTGACATCACACACGCACACACACACACACACACACACACACACACACACACACACACACACACACACACACACACACGAGTTGCCTCTGACGTTTGCTGCAACAACTTCACACATTTTTAATTATGTTTCATCTCAAGTGTGAAGAGCGTGTTTTGAAGAAGATCCGTCGGAAAATACGCAACAAGCGCTCGGCTCAAGAGAGCCGGAAAAAGAAATAGTCTGGAAGAAAGGTATGAGACGGTCTCTAAAACTTACAAAAGTCACGCTCACCCACACCCACACATGAGTCAAACTCTCATGCTTACCAATAAACTTCTCCTGCGCACCAAAAATCCTCATTTACCAAAAAAAAAAAAAAAACGCTCACACAGATGAAAATTGTTACACAAAAATCACACCAAATTACACGCACCATAAAAACTCTCATACAGATCAAAAACGTACATGAAAAAAAAAACACTGAAAAAAAAATCATCCTAAAAAAAAGTAAGCGCATTCACCAAAAAAAACCCCCTCTCACATTCAGACACACACCAAAAATTGTCCCACAAACAACAACAAATAAATTCACACGCGCTATAAAACCTTTCACGCCAACAAAAAAAAATCTCTAGCATACACCAAAAAAAACTCTCAATCTCACACCCTCACCTCTTTCGCATTCACAGACACTAAAACCGTCTTTGTTTCTCTTTCACTCTCTCTCTTCCTTATTATTATTGCTTCCTAATATAATCCTTCCTCATAATAGGATGCACAAAGATCGAGAGGGCAATATGTATTTTACGCTCTACCCACATGCCTGGTCACCTCCCCCCGTTTGAGAAAACGGATCGTCAAATGCCCGCTCGTGTCACAGCATATGATGTGCTGAAGATGTGCAAATGCATCACGTCATTCGGCAGCCACAAGTTCAAAGTACTGTAAATATAATCGCCCTGTACCAAAAAGCAACCTTTGTCACCCACTAAACCTTATCGCCGCCAGACCCGCCTCCCACACGTTGACACGACTGCTGCGCCAGCATCGTCATTATCCTTATACAGTATTCGGTGCATTGTTTCAGACGTCTTCTACTGCCAATCATTCGCTCCGCCCCTGACCTCCAACATCTTTTTGCCATCAACCCGTTCAGCTCAGTTCTTATTCGGCATACTGCAAGAGAGTAATTGGGCCTGCTGCGCCAGCATCGTCATTATCCTTATACAGTAATTGGCGCATTGTTTCAGATGTCTTCTGCTGCCAATCATTCGCTCCGCCCCTGACCTCCAACATCTTTTTGCCATCAACCCGCTCAGCTCAGTTCTTACTCGGCATACTGCAAGAGAGTAATTGGGCTGAGACAAAGCCAGCCCAAACGGAAAAAAAAAAACAACAACACCACAGCTGGGTGTTGTTTGTTCTGGAATTGAATTTACTGACGTGTTACAATGTTGTTGCATTCTATCAACGGCATCGCGCAAAAGTGAAAACACGGTTCACACTTTTGTCCATACAGCGTTCTTATGATACGTTTTCATGGTACAACATTGAAGAAAGGGCACTTTCCAACAATACAGTCAGTGTATACCTTGTACAACATCGTAAATATAATCTCACCGTCAAAATAATTCAACACACAGCCATTCATGTTTACACTGCTGGCAACAAAAGTGAGCACACCCCTAAGGGAAAATGTCTGAATTGGACAAGGTATAACAAAATATTGGCAACAAGGCGAAGGGATTCACTTACTTTTGTGAGGTACTGTAACAGTTAAAATGTCTACACACGAACCGTAACTATGATTAGTTTATTTATGATGCCCGTTGTTACAATGAAGGATGTTAAAATGTTACTATCGACTACACCAGATATTGCAAAAGACAAATTCATACATGTGTTAGTGCCTCCCCACACACACACACACACTCCATAACTCAACACGCATTCATTGATGTCCAAACTGCCGGCAACAAAAGTGACAACACCCCGAGGTGAAACTGGCCAAAGTGGACCCAATTAGTGAGTTTCCTTACTCGGCGTCACGTGACTCCCTCGTGTGACAAGGTCTAAACATCGTCTGATTCTTTACATTTGCAAAACATTGACTGTTTGGACACATACTGAACATACAGCACCAAACAAAAATGTCACAAATGCTACATACTGTATCATGAAACAATTGTTAAGTTGTTGGGATAATGGAGGAGCATTTCATTGTTCTGCCGGTCACTATATGTCACCGGTATGGAAAGAAAAACAAAGACAAATGATGTACTCCATAAATCTTTTTTGGGGGGGATTTAATAAAGAATATTTGCGGGGGAATTGGGTGAAATTTGATATTTTCTCACTCACCAGTTTCTTGGGACAGGCCCCCTTGCCGTTGCTTACCCTAGTCAGCATTTATTGGTATAATTTAGCAAGCCATAAACAGAGAATATTGTCAGGCTGCTGTTATCAGTCTTGACTCAGCTCAGACATGGGGGGGGGGAATCATAATGCTGGATGACTCAGAGTGACGAGGAGAAACAAAAGAGGCAGAAGCAGAAAGAAAGAAGGGGCCGAGGGGTTGAAGTCATTGAGAGACATTAGAGATAACACTCCAACAGATATTGGCAAGGGAGGAAAAAAAAAAGGGCAGACAATGCATTATCCAATCATGAGATTTTGGATACCCTTTCTCTCATTGTCTCGTCTTTCCCTTCTTTAGGATGTCTGCGTGCAGCGCTCACAACCTACAGCTGCAGAGAAAGATCCACAGACTGGAGGAGACAAACAAGTAAGATGAGCGGGTGAAACGGCCGAGAGATGAGCCCAATGTCATGACGGTTATTGGATCAACATATAACAACATATAGTTGAGACAAAAAGTCGAAACACACCTTCTCAAATTATTTTTGTGACATGAAAAAAAAAACCCCAGAGACCAAGATAAACATTTCCAAAACCTTTTCAACCGTAACCGTGACTCAGAATCCGTACGACCCAATTGAAGAAATAAAAATAAACCATTGAGATACGGTTGTACAAATGCACACTAGCCATTATTGAAACGGCCTCTTATAAATCCAAAATAAAGCTCAAATGTTCGATTGTGCCTTTCTGAACATTTTTGAAGTCGCATTAGAGAACAAAAGCGATATTCCGCATTGAGCTTTCAAAAAATGAACACGCCCACTTTGAGTAGAAAGTACAAACTTCACTTTTCATACATACGGGGGTGAATATATCTATAAAAAGTCCTGAAAATATAATGTGCAGATACTTGAAAAATCAACTTCCAAACTGATTTTTTTTTGATTGATTTCCCACAAAGTTCTGATAAGAAAACATTTCTTTGGTAGCCTGCGGTACAGCTTGCTAAATGTCATCGTCTTTGCTCAACAGCGCCCTGTTAGAGCAGCTGAGCCAGCTCCAAGCGCTTCTTCCGAACAGCTCCAGCAAAACAACGCAAAGGGGCACCTGCCTCTTGGTGAGTTCCACCGCATTCTACATTCAATTCTCTGTACGAACTCTTGGCAATACGTATCGAATAAATAAATGCAGCACCTGGCTCTCGAGGCGCCAATACCCGTGATTTCAAAGGCCCGTCCCGTGGCCTGCTCTTTTGTTGATCTTTTAGATTGGAATCGAGCTAAATGTTTGAAAAGCATCCGTGGCTGCGTGCGGTGTGAAAGGTTAGGCACGCTTTTACCGGTACTTTCTAATGGCCTTTCCTCCCCCCCTCCTCTGTAGGTTTTGCTTCTCTCCATCTCTCTCATTATTTCCTCAAATATGAAGCCGGATTCATACAGCCGACTAAGCCAAGAAGAGTACACAGAGACCTCAGGTGTGTATTAATGAAGCGGGCCCGCCTATTTTGAACATTGGGGCTTCAGTGGAAAAAAAAAATTCTAACACCCGCATCCACCTACCAAAAGCATTAAGCCAAAATAAATGCTACGGATTGGATACAATAGGCTGCTGGGAATACATTCACACAATTTCACGGGACAGATATTACAATTTGGGTTATAAATGTAGGCCAGCGCTTCTTGATAGTGTTTAGGTCAGCGGAGAAAACCCAATTGGCCCTGACTTTCTCTTCTCCGCACACTCTGACAAAAAATATGACATAGCTCCTCTCCGTGTCTATGTGCCTCAGTGCCGTCACGCTCCCTGCAGTCGGTCGCTGAAGTGGAAGAAGTCGCCGCGACACGGCCCCCCGTCTCCATCTCCGGGAGCACGTTGGGACTCAGCAGTGTAGCGGATCAGCTTTTGAAACGTCCGCCCAAGGGGAAGCTGCTAGCATCCCGGCAGCATGATCACAGGCCAAGGAAAGACTATTGATGTCTGCGAAGCCTCCGGAGGGGGGAAAAAAAAAAAGACGCTGCAAAGGCTTACAGAGACAGCATCCAAATGAGCGGGAGACCGATTGCTTTCCAGCACGGCTTTCTCACGGAGGGCCATTGGAGTGGTTGTCATAACACACACACAATAACGTGTTCAAGTTGATTGAGGTCAGGTGTCGCTTTGATTGTGCTCTGGAACATCTGCACCACGACCTTACAGCTTATGGATCGGAGTGATGACGGCACTGCTTGTTTTGCGGCGCTACGATCCGTGTAGGAGAACTTGTGTTTTCTACATTAACAGGTAGATTGTCGGTGATCTTTCAGAAGAGTGATTTAGAAGGATTTTTGGAACGGTCCAAATAAATCACAGCTTGAAAAAAGTTAACTGCATTTGATTTTTTTTTTTTTTACTCTAACTTAATCTTTTTGACTTCTGTCCATTCAATCAGATTCGGTTCTGAGTCTGTTAAATGCCGAAACTCATTCCAAAGGTGACTTGAAAGAGCTTGAACGGTTTGAATTTCTAATGGGAGCGATGTGGTGAACGGCTCGTCGGAAATGAATAGGGAAATATTTGGTGAAAAAATGTGGAACTGCGCAAAATGTGAACGTCAAAAGTATGAGATGAGGAAGGCGTCAATTTTTGGAACTAAGTTGAAGCCGGAACGGTGTGTAAAATGTGTGAAAGTGTGAATAAAAAGCTTTTTCTTTCTCATCAGATTAACACTCACCGAACGTCCTCGGTGCTGGAGCATGTTATGAGCGCTTGTCTGAGTGAAGCAAATGAGGCATGAAAGCAATTTTAGTGACTGGAAGCCATTTTGCTTCCCAATAATAATTTGTGTGCAGCCATTAGTGAACTCTTTGCGCAGAAACCAAAACGAGCTTTTGTGTTATTTTTGTTCACGTTTTGCCTCATTAAAAGAGCATGGGGTGACATTCGAGGTATTTATCTGCAAATCAGTGCAGTGCACTCAACTCATCTTGAAAGTAAAATAATTTGGTGACTATAATGGTATGCTCAACTGCTGTGGAATGCTTTTGGGGAATACAAATGAGCAGGAAAACAAAAACAAACGACATCTTTAATTTAGTCTGGTTGGAAAATGTCACGCGTGTCCATGTGACCTCCTCCCGTCCTTCTTGCATAACTAGACACAGCAGCACATTGAATGTGTTAATTAAAACAGAACAGTGTCTTGTAAGAAATGCAAATCATCAACCATCACATCGTTCCTCTGATTCCTCTGACGATAAATTCGTATGGACTTTGCAAAACGTGACAGTCCAAAGGTGACTGTCTACAAATGCCACCCTTCAGAGTCTACTTTCACATCACGGGTAAATATGAATAATGATATTTGAATGTAAAACCAATGTGGGTGACCAATGAATGCGATCTTATGAGGAAAAAATGGATTATGCTGAAAGCAGTGATTCTAAAGTGCGAGTATAACTAAAGGTACGCGGGCTCCCTCTAGTGGTATGCAAAAGCATCACTGAATTGAACGATTGCATAATGTTACAGTTCATTTTCTCAGTCGAGTTCAGTTGTATTTAACTTTTAAGTACAATACAGTTGCACTCAATCTATTAGAACTATTTGTTTCAAATTTATTTTGGTCCACTTTTAATTTAACTTGACGGACGTTTAACAACAGTAGATGACAATTTTACATTGCTATGGATGTGAGATTAGCACAGCTGTCAAGTAAAACAAATTAGGGAATGAACCTCGGATTGTCACGTCAATTAAAACGAAGGAAAAAAAAAGCCAACACGTTCGAAGTCAGACAAGTTTGACTACCTCAGACTCCAAAAGAGCACGGATGCTATAAACAAAGTATGCGCCGCGGTAGGAAGCAGAAAGTATGTCGCGATCGTCCAACTCACGAGCCCACCCGTGCACATTTGTAAATAAATGATCATTTGGTCAAAAAACGCTCGAAAGGGGGCAGACAAAAGAGGAAACTGCTTTGAAAACAGCTGACAGCGTATAAGTTAAATGCTCTTTCATCAGATGCTGGAAGCTACTTAACCGACCAATTTTTTTTCTTGACATATTTGTTTCGTCGCGCGCCGTGAAACAATTTGGATTGGTCCCATTTCAGCCTCCTTGAGCATTGCGCCCCCACCTGACCAAAAGGTGCACATGAGTGAGTATAAAAGGCTTCGGGTGGCGCGAGCATCCCTCCTGCAGACGCGAGGCAGCTGCAACACTTGTGAAAGCTCCCCTAGTTAGGCTGTCACCAAGGAACTCCATAGATTCTGTGCTTTCACTGATTTCATCAGAAATCACTCATTCCACATAACACAAGCACAATGGAGATTTGTTCTTGCCCACACTTTGAAAATGGACCTTCCTAAAGTGGAGGAGGTGGATGCAAAGATGCGTTGAAAGTGTCTCACCGACCGAACCATGCAGAGCAACAGCAGCGCCTCGGATTCGGCACCCGTTGGTGCGCTGAGCGGGTGTGGGGGAGAAGAGGATGACAACCCCAGCGGAGCCGGGTCCAACTTGGCCGCCTTGAACCTGTCCCTCAACTGCTGGCTCCAGATCCTCTCCAAAGAAACCTCTGCGGATCTGCACGGAGACAGTGCCAACACGGCGGTAAGTGGGGCTCCAAAATTGATTTAAAAAAAAAAAAAAAAAAAGTGTGTGTGTGTATGTATATATATATATATATATATATATATATATATATAAAATCCACTACAGAGAAACTAAGATGAAGACTAATTAAATCAGTGGTGGGGAAACATTGGTGACTAAGGGCCATATTTGATTGCTTTATACATAATAATAATAATATGTTAAAACGCCAGCATGGATTTTGTGAAATTATTTTTAAGAATTGTCCTTTTTAATTATATTATTTATTAATTGTTAAAATTATTGAATGAAATAGAAAAAAAAAAGAAATATTCTGGCCATGTTTCATGATTCTTGCTGTCTTTACAAAAACTGCTCTGTTATATGAATTTCCTGTCAAATGATCAAGCTTAAGAAGTTGCAGATTGTGACCTGGCATAAACATAGCAAGACATCAACATATCACAGGGATTTTATCTGCTAGATTTAATTTGTTACCACAAGTACAGGCAAAAGCAGAAATAAAAAGGATTCAAACACGTCTCTTGATACGTGGACTGCAATACGATTCAATGACGGTACATTTTGGAGTGGAAAGATTCGATTCTATGCAGTCTTTTTTAATGAAAATTGGGATTCCAATTCAAATCTATTTTCGTTGCATCCCTAAAGAATAGTAAAATATTATTAGTATTATAAAACACAATTTACTATATTGACTTTACTAGTATGGCTTGGCAACGGCCACTGCCTGGCTGAGTCTCGCTGTACAGCGCCCGATCCTGCGGCACACACGCACAATCATTCCCTTTGCATTCTTTTCATGTTTTATAGTATTTTTATAGTATATAGTATAGTATATAGTATATAGTAATAGCTAGTCTTCCTGCACGTAACACAACAAAGAAAAGTCTGAAATGATGTCAGATGTTGAATGTAATCCACAACGTTGCGTTGGTTTGGTCCGTCAGGTGCGAGTCCTCATCGCTCTGGTCTACTTGGTCGTGTGTGTCCTGGGGCTTGTGGGTAACCTCCTGGCACTCTTCCTGCTCCACTTCCGCCGCCGAGGTCACCGCCACACCTCCGTTGACTGTTTTGTGATAAGCCTGGCTCTTACTGACCTCCAGTTTGTCCTCACTTTGCCCTTCTGGGCCGTGGACACGGTCCTGGACTTCCGCTGGCCCTTCGGCTGGGTCATGTGTAAGATCGTGAGCTCGGTCACCACGATGAACATGTACGCCAGCGTGTTCTTCCTCACCGCCATGAGCGTGACCCGCTACCACTTGCTGGTCACGTCTCAGAAGATCGCCAGCCCGAGGAGGGCGGCCGCTCGAGCAAAGTGGGCCAGTTTGGCTATTTGGGCGGTCTCGTTGGTTGCCACGTTGCCTCATTCCATCTACTCCACCACCGTTCAGGTTTGTTGACTGAAACAGCATCCATTTAGTATCAGAGGATCAGGTGTGTGACTTCCCGCTTATACCGAAACCGTCCACATTTAGGTCACCAAACTGTTGTGTTCACAGGTGTCTGTCGACGAAGAGCTCTGCCTTGTGAGGTTCTCCGAATCAGATTCCGGTCACTTGGATCCACAAGTACTCCTCGGGCTCTATCAATTGCAAAAAGTGCTTCTGGGATTTGTCTTTCCTTTGATAATCATCAGCGTGTGCTACCTCCTGCTCCTGAGGTTCGTCCTGAGACAGCGCGTGGTCGGCAGCGTGATCGACGGCGCCGTCGCAAAGAGCTCCGAATGCCAGCGAGGTCGCCACTGCCGCCGCTCCAAAGTCACCCGCTCCGTCACCGTCGTAGTTCTGTCTTTCTTCATCTGCTGGCTGCCCAACCAGGCTCTGACGCTATGGGGCGTGTTGATCAAGTTGGACCTGGTGCCCTTTAGCAAAGCCTTCTACAACGCTCAGGCCTACGCCTTCCCCCTGACCGTGTGCCTGGCCCAGGCAAACAGTTGCCTCAACCCAGTCCTCTACTGCCTCATCCGCCAGGAATATCGTGCCGGTCTCCGACAGCTTCTGCGTCGAGTGTATATTCCGATCCAAAACATTTTCAACCACGCCCTGGGGGGGAGGAGAGGAGAGGTAGCACCCACTAGCTTGGTCATGATACACAAAGACAATGTGTGATTTTAGGAGTTTATTCTAAAAGGAATAGAGGAAACCCCGGGTAGTTGCAAGGGAGAGGGATTGAGTCCTTTTGTGAAAAAAAAAAAAAAAAAAATTACAACTGAGGCCCCATCTACACATGTGGCGAAAATTCTCGCTAACAACCTAGGCTGAAATTAGCGGCTTTCCCAACATACATGGGTTTTCGTCTTTTAGTAGAGATATATCATTTCAACAGACTTCGGAGACACCGATTCCTACTTTCCTACGAGCAAGGGTTTGGCAGCATCCTGTGGCATTACAGAAATACTGCCATTAGCAAAAATCCGAGAGAATGTGGCGACAAAGTACCTTTTTCGATGAGACAAGACAATGGCCTGACTAAATGAAGCTCCGCCTCTTACCCTGACCTGGTTCCTTGGCACCAAGATGCCACAAAAGTCCTTTTTTTATATTAGGTTCCGGAGAGAAACAAAGATGTAAAAGGAGCTTAAACTTTGAATAGGGCGGGGGGTTCACCGTATTCCTTCCAATGGCTGTTTTCTGGATAAAATCAGTTTTAACTCTCTTTGGCACACTGATTGTTGAGTTGCTATGCACATAGGTCTGGATAAACAAGTACAGCTATCAACTTCAATCAAACAATGCAATCATACTTTTTTTCTCCGCCCCATCAAGAAAAACGCACAGATGGTTGAATGTTACTTTTTTTTTCCCCTTTCTCCATTTTTATGTCAACCGTCCCCACACGCACTCCTGATGAAAACAGCATTTTACGATGCTTTTAACGCTGATGTGTGACTTGTAGTCTGACCAACTTCAATTACCTCAAGCATACTGAACTGCAGGCCAGAGATGGTTAGCTACATTAGTGTGTGTGTGTGTGTGTGTGTGTGTGTGTGTGTGTGAGTGTGAGTGTGTGTGAGTGAGAGAGAGAGACATTGGGATTTAGTTCCGTGAAAGCATACTGTATGTGTTGGTATTGTGACATAAAATAAAAAAATAAAAGCACGTTGACAAGAGTGCTGTGATGAAAAGCGATCTCACCAAATGATGAAAAAAAAGGGAGGGGGGACGGGGGGAGGGGCTCGCCCATTGCATTTGAAGCCATTTTGCCCTTTTGCAACCTTCCAAGTCTGAACGTGGATAAACATTGATAGCTGCCCACAGATAGCGGTTGAAATGTAAATACCATCGAGACACACACATCACAGGGCCTACTCCTCCATTGTGTGTACTCTGGCAGTAATTACCTTGCTAAATTGCATCCTTCACAACTGTAGATGAAGTCACAAAAAAAAAAAAAAAAATCACCATCGACAGGTCCCAGTGGATATAAAAAGTCCCCACCCCAGGTCAAACGGCAGGACACTTCAAAACATTTTGCACCATTAATGTAACCTATAACTTGTACAACCGAACAGAAAAATATAATCTTTGGATAGGGGTATTAAAAAAACAAAAAAAATAATGTGATTGCAAAACTGTGGACACCCTCTTGCTTATAAATGGGGATGTGGCTGTTTTCCGAATGAACCAGTCACATTCAAACTGAAGTTAAATGGGAAACACTTGCTATCATTTGAAGTGCCTCTGATTAACCTCAAATAAAGTTCAGCTGTTCTTGTAGGCATCTACGGACAATTTTTACCGTTCAATTTTGACTTGCGAATTTTCCTTTCAATTGTGCTGTACAGGTTCTGGGTCACATCAATGGTGGAAGAAAGGTTAGCAAAGAATTATCTTGGTCTCATTTTTCGATATCATTAAGACCTGGCATTTGCACAGGGGTGTGCAGACTCCCGCCGCTAAGGATCATGCATTTTAATGTTTAGCTCCATTGCGCAGAAAACCACAAGAGGAAATATAAACCTCATCCCTGTACAAGTCAATTTATTACCAGGATGAACAGGTCAGAGCTGACCTGCGAATTTCCCAGTCGGCTGTTGAAGATTATTGACCACTGAGGCACAGACTGTCAATCACAGCAGAACAATGAGAGAAACGTGTGATCTTTCTTTGCGTCCTGAGTGGTTTATTTGGCCATGACAATGAATTAGATTTGTAAAGTGCATCAGCTATATTAGATATAAAACCGTTGCTTGGTCATTCGTTTCTTAAAGTTAAAAAGCAAAATACTCACCCCACATGAAAATGCATTTGCAGGCTTTTATACAGAATGTACGGCCACTTAGTAAGACAGAAAGAAATGTACGGAAAAGGCACGGCAACAGTAATGCAATGTTTAGGAGGGGGAGCATAATAGCTTACTTCCTTACGTTCTTACAAAAATAAAATTAAAGGGGGACGTGAAATTGGAACAAGGCCTCACTGTGAGCCTGTGCCCTGACTTTTGGAATGATTAAAAGGCCGCAGCTGGACAATCTCAGTGCTCAAGGGGTTTGCCCACTAAAAAGGAGTTCTGAAAGATACGAAGGCCATAAATGATTAAAACATTAATAAATAAATAAAAACAAGTGATAACTGGAAATTCAACCCTGAAACACACGTGGAGCCAATGCAGAGATTTTTTTTTTTTTAAATTGGTGTAAGTAATATGCTGCAGACTTCCATCTTAATCAGAAAATTTCCTACCAGTTTCTGTAGTCATTGTAGACTTGAAAGGCTCTTTTTTTTTTTAGGAAGACCAGAAAGCAAGGCGTTACAGTCGTCAATTGGGTTAGTGACAAAATCATGCATTAGCACAGGGGTGTCCAAATTCGGTCCTTCAGGGGCCCTAGCCAGGGTGTTTGAGATACCTCAGGATCGCGATTTGGCTTCTCAGAGCGAGCTGAGGAGCTGATCATTTGAATCGGGTGTGTTGGAGGAGGGAGACATCTAAAACATGCAGCCTAAGGGCCCTCGAGGACCACAGTTGGAAACCCCTCCATGAGCGTCTCCGTGTGGGCCCGCGATTTTCACTTTTATTGACTCCTCTTTTGTGTCCACGAAGATCTGATCTTTTTTGTTTGTTTGTTTGTTTGTTCTTGCATCCACGCTGTGCTCCGCTTTCAACTTTGTTCTCACTTGAGCAGGGCGCTTAACTCCACGGCAGGTTTTCTGACCTTGCTGGCTCAACTCAGCTTTGTCTATTTGGCAACGCGCCGCTGGCAAAACTTTCACACATACGAGAGTCGCCACCTCAGCACTTTACAAGTGTGGGGGGGGGGGGTGTGTTTAAATGTTTAATGAGCAGTGCCTGTCTCTTTGCAGACAGCTGACAATTCTGATGTCCTCGACAGAATACTAATTCGGATGCACACACTTTTGAATTATCGATACGCAACAGTTAAAAAACAATTACGAGTTAATTGCTCGGGTTTTCAACAGCCTTACTGATCTGTGTCTGATGATTTAAAGGCCACTTTGCTTCATAAACAAGGTGGCGGTGGCAGTTAGCTTCCCATGGTTCGTTGCAAGCAAAGGCCTTTTCACTATTTTGTGGGAAAAATCTAGTTGTCGTAACGAATGGAAACGGAATCGCGTGAAATTGGGACTTTGAAAGGAACGTTTCATGGTTGCAAACGGAAACGGGTCACGTTGAAAAGTGGTTCGACCATATGTCTTTATGACTGACTTAATGGAGCCAATATATGCCACTGTCAAGCTGAACTTAATGATCTGACACAAACGTCTGTGCTCTTCCTGTCATGTTAATCGGTGACGTTTCAAGAAAATGAGCATGGCAACGTACGTATTGTGCATAATGAGCGCCTGTCGGAGCTGACACATTGACCTAAGACATGTTAATGACGTTTCCATGCACAGGAATAAAAATCATACAATTATGCCGGCTGAATAATTGCCTTATAATGATGCCTCTCAGTGCGAAGTAGGCCATGACTGACCGACAACATGCAATGGACAGCACAAAGTGAATGACCGCAGAGGTTGTGCTTTGATTTATTGCCAAAACACAGGTATTTTTTTTTCCTGAGATAAAAAAATAGATATGTTGTGTAACCATGATCTGTTCAAAACGAACAAAAATTGTACTGTACATGCATTGCTTTTTGGCAGATGGATGAAACGTGGAGGTCAAGTACAAAATGTACACCTCACAGCACCACATGATCTACTTTTTTTTTTTTTTTTTTTAATACCCCCCTCTGTTTACAAGTTTTCTTCATCCCGGTGTGGTTTCACGGCACATGACGAGAGAGAGAGAGAGAGAGAGAGAGAGAGAGAGAGAGAGAGAGAGAGAGAGAGAGAGAGAGATCAACTAGAACTCCTCTCATACAGCGGATAGAAAGTCTGCATACCCCCAGGCACAATTCCAGGTTTTTGCAATATTAAAAAAAAATTCCCCCCCAAAATCCACTATTAACGTCACTTACAACTGGTAAAAAGTTTGTTCCTAGAGTCAGGAGTCATTTTTGATGAGGGTAGTACCTGAGGCTATTTGTCATCTTTGATCCCCAGTGGAGGATCTTTCCTCTCCTTCTTGACTTTCAGAGTCTGTTCTTTGATGGCGTCGCCGTCCACTGCTCGTTTCTTCTCCTCCTTAACGAGTTCACCTTTGACCTTGACATCCACACTGAGAGCGTGCGTGGGCTTCAGGTCGGCGTCACCCTCAGGTGCAGCGGCGGAACTCTCGCACACGGTCGGCCCTTCCCACTTTGGGATGTCCAAGCCCAGGTGCTCCATGAGCTGCTTCATGACATCATCTACGTAGCCGTTGATCCGCAAGTGGGCATGCTTGTCCTGCAAGACATCAAGTTAAAGCAGATATGGTCAAACACTGTAACATAATCCTCCTGCCCCCAAAAAAAAAATCCCTCCAAAGTCAATCAGCAAACGTTTTGCTTTTTATCCGGAGTATTTTTAACAAAGAGAAAAAAAAAAACAACTTACCGTAGAAACAAGAAACAGAGCTTACTCTGTCACACGATATGAGCAAGACAATGATTAATTTCGAATCATAAATCCTGAAATGTATTTTGAGGAAATGTTCTTTCAGAAGTGTGTATCAAACCGGAGATGAATGAGCTGCTCCAAAAGCTTGGCGGCCCCCGGCAAAGCGTGTGCGAGAGGTGCAGGAGTAAAAACGTACGTGCTTCGTGGGCTGCAGGTTGACAATAACTATTTTGCCGCCTTTGCGCTTGGTGACGAGTGGAAGGTCTCCGCTGGGTTTGATCTGCATGGAGGTGCCCAGCGTCAGTGCCAGGTCGGCTTGTCTAATTCAGAGAGAGCACAACAGTTCAAAGTGAAAATGTGAGCGGGGATCTTACAACAACATGACAACTGCGTTTGGACCTCCGTGAAAAAAAGAGATGGGGGTGCGGATACACATTTCGCTTTTATGAAATTGCTGGAGCGCGAGTCATCATCCGGTAATGAAGCATGTCATAAAGTGGAACAAACAAAGAGTTCACAGTTGCTCAGCCACTTTTGTAACACACATCATTTTTGCCAGGATAAAAGGTTGACTATTGACACTGAGCTGGCAAATGGGAACATTAACAGGCACTGATGTATCGATTAAACCCAAAGAAGGTTTTTTTTTAACAGTGGTGTGATGTCAGGGCCAGCAAATCCTTCTCAACTATCACCATTTAAAAAAACAACAAAAAAATGCTCACCTACATTTAGAAATTTCATGGAACAAATAATGGAATTTACCATTATTTGTTCCATGAAATTGTAATCATTTATTCCCATCATGAAACTTCCTTTTATACTGTACATGTACAGTATATATTTGCTATGATATGCTGTTATATTGTGATTTTGTATAGTATCGATGGCTTCTATAATTGTGATGTGAAAGTAGGAATAAGAGCTAGATTGAGTCTGGTACATCCCTACTGTAACCGCAGGTGCCAAATGCATGGCCCGCTTTTTTCATACAGCGTTATTTGCAATTTGGACACAGGACAAAATGAAACAAGAACATGGACAGTGTTGTGTAACGGCAAGATGTGAACAAGTCAACAAAGCGGACCTGCTTGCATTGTCTGCTTTGTTCAGATCTCTGTCAGGAAGCGCATCCTCCCAGTCCAGTATAGTGCTGATCAACTTCCCTCTGTTTTCATAAAGACCACACAAGACAGGCTGTCGGACAAGTGAACGTCTTCATTTGCTACAGAGAGCATCATGTGTGCGCGCATGTGTCTGTTTCTGTGCATGCACGCGTTAACCTGCAGGCTCTGAGTCCTCTGGAGCGCACCACATCGCAGTAACGTCCTGTTGGCTTGAGGCCCATCACGCCAATCACCTTTTCCCTCACAAACTGCCTGGGAAAAAAATTAATTAAAAAATGACACAACCCTGGTCTTTTAAAGTGGACTAAGACACCCACCTATGCTGCCGTTTCTGTGCTTAGCCCCAAAAATTACTTTAACATGCACGGAAAATTCTTGTCAACAAACCTTCTGAGTTATGCAGCAGTGAGCAGCAGCAATCAAATCAAATTGTCCCAAAAGAAGAGAAAAATGTGTGAGCATATACCTGCAACACTTCTCGCACTCCTCCACAAACATGTTTCCATGAAGCTCCGACAACAAATCCCTGTCAGGGCCAGAGACGACATCTCCTTAGATCACAGTGTGCATATTTCACTTGAGAAGAAGTTCAGTGCGGCCGACTCCTTGGTGAAGACTCTCTGTTGTGCTGCTAGGATTGAGTTCAGCGGTTAGGCCAGGCCAACGGCTGCGGCCATTCTCTTCCTGCTGTGTGGTTCTTTTTACAAAAAGTGGAGCGCAAAAAAAAAAAAACCTCACAGGAGGGAGAAGGAGATGTATGAAACCGCTCCCAGGGAGAGCAGGTCTTCCATTACAGGCTGGATACTTGGCGTGAATGGAAAATTGCCTTTGCTGCTTGAGGTCAGTGCATCGCAATGGAATAAAAGTTGGAACGAGTTTTTCCCTCAAGTGTTTTTCGCGCAGACTTTTTTGGAGTGTTGTTTGAGCAGTTAAAAAAAACAACATTTCTATGCTCACTGTGTGGATGTTAAACCTAAATTTCATTGGAGTACACAATGAACTTGTTAGTGCAGCGGTGTGAGAAAACGTCATTAACATGATGGCGCAAGGAGACATCTGAACGGGCTGAAATTTGTGTTTTTCACCATTTTCTTTTCTGTCATCATGACTTTATAACTGCATTAGTGTAGGTGAGTGACAGACTGCAGTGCGTTCGGACTTAAACTATTACTGTCGACAAATGAAATGAAATGAAATGCCCTGAGCCAAGTCACCTTGGAAAGCCGGATCGCACATGCAGGCCGTCCACATTTTGGCTGATGAGATACTTGAGGTATCCGGCCCGCTGGAGTCCCAGCAGGGCCATGTGAGTAAGGCTGGGTCGGGCCTCTTCAAAAGTTGTCTCAAAGTGAGGCGTCTCTCCCTTTTCCTCCAAGGTCCACACACCCTTGGGCCCCCTAAAAGAAAATTTGCTATCATGATGGCCACAAAAGGATAGTACAGAGGAGCTATGAATTGTGGAAATCTGTGAGTAGAAGGACCCCCACCCCCCAAAAAAGTGCCTGTTGATGCCACAATGCAACAATTTTGTCTAAACAAAGCTCCTAAACTCACTTCAACATAGCTCCATGGCACCAACATTGGCAGCAGAGCACTAGATTTGTCTAAATGAAGCTCCTCAAATTAAATTCACACTTAATTTGCACAAAGATGCCACAAGATGGTGGCAAAACACTACTTTCATCTGAATGAAGCTCCTCAACTGACTTCCACAAACTTCCTTCGCACGATATATGCCACAAGATCCCAACAAAGCGATACTTGTATTGTTTTAAAGATAGGTTACCAGAAACTATGTATAAAAATTAGCAAATATGCGAATGTGGTAGCGCATTCAATCACGATATGCTAATAAGTGCTAATCAATTCACTCCAAGATTGACCTGTAATTTAACAACACCATTTTTTTTTTGTTTTTTTGCTTAAGAACTTATCTCTCCTATCCGTGCGAAATGATGCAAATGTATTCTAAAAATGCCTCGGCTAACCCTCCTAACCAAGCCTTACAAAAGGAAATGAAATATTTGTGAACCGTAAACGTTTACGGCAGCTAGATTTAAAGAAACAGGCCGCCAGTGTAGTTCATTGACGCTATTCAAAGATACATATGAGTGAGTAAAAAAAAAAAAAAAAAAAATGTAATATTCAAAGATACATATGAGTGAGTAAAAAAAAAAAAAAAAAAAAAGTGTAATTTTGTTTTCTGATTTCCAGAACAACGCTGGCGGTCAACGAACTTCCACATAAATTTCATTTTAGCCGCTTATGTGATTCTCGCCTTTGGCGACAAGAAAAAAAGCACGAATTGAAGCAATACCCATCGTTGTAGAGTCTAATTCATTTTTAAACAGAACTGTCATTTCTTATGATGGCGCGGGTGGTATTGAGCCATAAATAAATCAAACAAGGCTACTGGAAAAAAAAATCTGAAATCTGTATTTGGCTGTATGGATTGCGATCAATATTTTGTCTCATCCCTTTTAAGTATTGGTATAATATCACTCACAGGAGAACTCATCATGTGAATCCTCACAATGCAACCATTTTGCATTTGAAGTTCGACAGCCTACCACTCTTTCGTTCTCTCTTTTAAGCTCATAACAGACATTATTTATAACAGCTTATGGGGGATGCCATGAGGGAGATGCTACAGGATGTGAGAGCCACATTCGCGTCATTCGGAACTTTGGTGAGAGGAAGCGCAAAGGCTGTAAAATTGCTTTGCGTCACAGCTATCGTGTTCCACTACATTTGTGCTTGTGTCAGCAACAGCAGTCCAAGTTCGCACGAGATGCCTTAATGTGTAGATACAACATAATGTGTTGCTTTAATGATGTTGCTGTCCAAAGTCGAACTGACTAGCGGCTGAACAAATCAAATATGAATACATTAAGGAGGAGTGCAAGTACCGCTGGACGGCAATTGGAAACATGATCGAATGAGTTCAAAAAGATGAAAATGTTTCCAGGCAAAATCGAAGGTTTAAATAAATACTGTGGTGACTCCAAACATTTTGAACGAATCAAAAATGATGTGTTTTCTCATCATTAATTGAGCGTGAATCAAACATATATTAGCCTCTTTTGATCAAACTGAGGAACTACAAGATGGAGAAAAAAAAATAAATAATCAAGTCAGCCAAGAAAATCTATATACACCACACATTCATTTGACATGCCGAGTCCCTATAAATATTTTTTTAATTTGTTTTAGAGGTGTTATAGACTGTTCATATGATGAATCGGGTATTAATTCTGGATACATGAAATTATTTTGACACCTTTTTGGCTAAGACTACAGTATTGGGAATCAATGATCTAACACTGAAAAACAATTGACATGTACTTCCATCTTCTGTTCAAACTGTGGAACTACAAGATGAAAATGTAAATAAAAATAAAGATCACCAAAGGCACCAGAACGACCCCAAAGCTCAGGGTTGTCCAAAATATAGATAAGCAGTTAAAAATGATGGATGGCATTATAAACAGTATAATTAATTAAATCAAGATTATAAAGACCGCACAAAGGTTTTACCACGGAATATTGGAAAGATATTGGCCATTTTCTGTGTGCGCCAAGATGTTCTAAATGTTTGAATACTTTTCACTGTATGATTATTTCTTCTTAAAATGAAATCAGCCAAACAACTCAAGCATGAAAAAGGCCTTGAATTAATGGCAGAAATAATGTACTCTGTCTTTTGTATTAAGTCGGCTGAGATAAACTCCTGCCAATCTGCAACGTTGATTTTAAAAGCTGTATGGGAAATGATGGCATGGATGTATGAAAGCATTTCATGCCCTCGGTCGGGGAGAGGTGAAGCAAGCAATGGGGTAAATGGCATGTATATTTGCATTGCAGATGTGAAATTGAATTAAATTAATTTAAATGTGAAATGCAAAAGCTACAGGGGACTTTCTTACCTGAAGTCAGGGATGCCAGCTGACGTGCTGATTCCTGCTCCAGAATGCACGACCATGTACCTGGACTCTCTTACCAGTTGAGCAAGCGTCGTCACCTTTGCTTTCAGCTCTTCGGGGCTATCAAATGCCTGTATCATCATATCACATTGGTTAATAAGAATATGAAATACATGCGAATTTTGCAGCTAGCATTCTTTATAAGCATCTCATTGAAGTAGTTTCAGGCGCATGTACTGTATTCACGTTGACAATGAAAATGATCAAGTTCAGTGCAGCTATCGCATCTCTTCAATCAGATAATGCAAGCAGCTCACACTATGCGTTGATTTCATGAGTTTTGGTTGAATGTTTAATCAAATCTACAGTTTCAATCAAACAGTTCATACATCACAAAGTCTACCTTGAACGCACAAGTAGCAGCTAATCTGCTAGCTAAACCTTGTTAGAAACGGAACTACCGGTTCCACTGTAGCTTCCTATTACCTCTGGAAGTCCGCACACACCCTTGTCTGCATACGGTGAGAGTCCGGCCGCATAATTCACAGACATTGCAGCTGTTTCTTCGATTCAAAAAAACCTTCCGAATGCAGCCGGGAAGAACTATTTTCAAATCCGTAGCGACTGGAGGCTTTCGTGACGTCATAACTCCGCGTCCAAATTAGGTGCTTTCACGGATACGGAAAAATGGGCAACTTTAAACGTTCTCGCTGTACACCAAGTAGATTTTGTTCCAATAAATCTTTATTTTTCACTTTTAAATAGCCAAAATTTAAAAAATAAACAGGTGAAGAAAACAAGGTGATCATCCTTTCAGCTACATGTGCATATCCGTCAAGATCTGTCACTCTCAAAACCACCCACTATGTCGAATGTAATTGAATAATCCTGAGAAATTCAGTATAGTCCAATTTGAGCAGATGAAATACTGGCGACGAAAAATACACACGAGGAAACACGCTAACACTAAAATTATATCAAAATACTTAAACTCACTACTAACACAAACTGTAAAATAAAATGTGGTGGAATTGTTCTTTTTCACTTCCACTGACTTCCAAGGGGGAATCCTTTCAAATCCTGACTGACACTGCCACATCATTTCTCTGACACATTTTCTACACACGTTTTGTCAAGCCTTATAATCTCATCACATAAAACATTCCCAAGCAAAAGTTGCAGGCATTAAGTCTAACCATATAGAAAAAGACTAATATTGCTTGCAAGAAGCATAAAATAAAGACGCGAATACAACAGCATACATTTCAGGGGCATTTAAAAAAACAAAAGAAAAACACCAATTTTGTTTAGTCAGGCATTAAACCTGAAAGAATTCTGATGAGCAAGTACTGCCCTCCCCTAGAAAGCATGGTGAACGTGACACTACTTTTATCTGGTGGTTTTAAGTAACTTAATTCCCACAATGAAAATGACAAAACACACCCGGTGACAACCAGGGGAGACACAGCAAAGATCTTTTTTTTTTTTTTTTTTTAATAGTAAAAATGGTAAACGCCATTTTGACCCAGCCAACAGTCCACTTCAGAGAATTCGCTAGTTCTCTGTAATCATACACTTTTCTTATCAAAGCTGTAAGCAGATCACGATTTGCAAACAGTTCCCCAGAAGAAGAAAAAATATTCCAACAGTTTCTGGCATGCAGATGATGTTTGAGTTAAATCCCATTCCACCCCACCTTTTTTTTTTTTGTCATTCACTAATCCAGGAAATCGGTGAGACTTAATACCGGTAAGAAAAGACCATATTCAGCAAGGGAAACCAGTAACAATGAAAGAAGATGCAAAGTGAATGATTTATAAGTGTCTGCATCAGTGCAAAGTGGCATCACCCCCACTTGAACCCTTTACATTAGAAGCACTATTTATGTTGGCCTCTCTGGTTTCCGGTCAAAATGAAAACTTTTTTTTTTTTTTTTGCTGGTGCAAATCTCAGCAAAATCCACATGAGCCCATCAATTCAGCTTTAACAAAGAGCGCGCAAGCTAAGATAAAATCATCTCGTTTCATTGGTTTACAAACAGGAGGTGTCAAATATTTCTCACTTGCAGACCTCAGACCTCTCAGATGACCCCGGCCAGTAAAAGGGGGTCGTCACGTGTCAGCAAAGAATGGTCACACTGTGGGAAAGGCGTGTCACGACTCTTCATTGCCAGAGTCGTCTTCGTCATAGCAGCAGTCGCCGTCTCCGTCCTCGACGTCATCGTCATCGTAATAATAGTCATAGAAGAGGTCGGAGCCCTCATCAGGAGGCGGAGCACGTGTGCGGACACAGTATTCGGCCAGCGTGGTGGGGACCTGAACCCCGTCGCGTTCCGCCTCAACCTTGGTGGCCAATACTTGTTTTCTGTACAAGACATTCAACAATTGGTGGTTTGTTGGGTGAGGTAATTAGGCAACTTAAGACCTAGGTACAAAAAAAAAAAGTTGACACTGTATAGTTTATAGGATTTTAATAAGTACATTCAAGAGATATGTAATAAGAGGTTCGGCGTTCAAGTGGATGCAAAATTACCTGGTCGAGAGATATCAAAATCATGGTCTCAAATCATCTTTCCCCATTGAAATGATTGGAAATGCCATTAATCCGTTATGGAGGATATAACATATAAGATGTAGGCACAATTTGCTTCGAGGCTTCACCCTATACATCTTTGGTTATCTTTGTCCTTCGTTGTTCATTTTTAAATGTATTTCTGAAACTAGAAATGTATCTCAGAATTTTGATGTGACTGAAATGACTGCTGACTGGAAGCCAATCGAATAAATATGATGAGTACTCGTGCTCACTCTTGTTTAGCAAAAAGAGGCAAATTCAGATTTTTGTATTTTTAACTCAACATTTGTTGCATGTGTACTCGTGTACTGCCGTCAAAGGCTGCTCACCTGATGATCTCGACATATTCACGATCCTTGCCCTTGCTGTCCCTCCATTTGCGGTACATGACAGAGGCATCCACATTGGCGGGAGAGAAGGTGTTTGGCTCATTCAGCAGTGAGATGACACTCAGCAAAATGGTTCTGAAAGCACAAAAGAGGGTCACACCACTATAGCTTGACACCTGACATCTGATGTACGTTAAGGAGCATGGAAGCATTTTTTGATCCCCCATATAAATAATATTCTTAGAGTTAGCAACTAATCATTACACACTGTGTCTTATGTGTTGTGTTGTATAATTTTCTCATTTTATGTTAACAGTTCTGTTGATGGCGGCGCGGGCACCCACAGCGGCTCCTCTCTCTCCTATGGTTGAGAGGAAAGAAATTTCATCTGTGCTGTTTGTATTGTATTGTATTGTATGTTGCACATAGAGCACATTTGACAATAAAGTTGACTTGAACACTAAACCAATAAATCCAATGGATAGGCTACATTTCACCCATGACCCGAATGAAGGCACGTGCGATTGAAAATAAGTGGGATGGACAACAGGCTAAATTCCTAGATTGAATCTCTCCGCCCTCAATGTTTCCAAGTCCTCTTTTGTTACCAGAGTTGTACAGAGCAGATAATTGTGCTGCGTGATCTGCGAAGATGTGGCTCAACTTCCCGTCGCTGGCGTCACATTCTTCCTTCAGCTGACTAGTTGAAAGTGAAACTGAATCAGCTACGCTACACTTACTTGTTGCAGTCGAGTAGTGCAGCCCAGATTTCCTCATTTGCTTCAAGACTCTATTAATTGGCATTCTCAACGACCTGTTAACAATTATCGGTAACAATTGTGCTCATAAATCTACATACCCTGGGAGACGTGACAAGACTTCATAGACACTAAGGAATGTTAAAGTGTTACTTAAAATATCGCCTAAACGGTATATTAGAAGTTTTATGACGGCGGCGCCTGTAATTTCTAATGTAATCATTCCCTAGGGCAGAATTAGTTTTACAAGCAGTGTCTCGGAAACGACTGTGTTTTACTTTAGAGGCTCAACTGAATTGTGCAGGTAAACAGAAGATGTTAGCTGAGAGACAGAGATCATTTTTCACAGATGGTGTCGAATCCCCAGATGTGGCGTCAATATGCGTCTCTTGAGAACGGGCTACTCTGAAGACAAATGTCATGTGATCAGGGTCTGAGTCAAAGGCGGTAACCAGATAATGACTATTCATGCTAACCGGACATTCTGGGTGGGATTCCATCTCTCCGAAGGCAGTTCTCCACTTTGTGGGTCATCCACTGGTGGGTGCAATATAGAAATACAAACATCTCCATTCTGAAAGAGAATAAAATTTATTATGAGTTGATTGCCATGTGGTCAGCAGATCCTGCAATGACAGGTTGGACATCAGTTTCATGGACACATGCAAAATGCTTAATAAAAACTAGGAATAATAAATATTTAGTATAATTTTACCACTTATTACACAGACCATATTATCAGAACAATGTGTCGGGCATGCTAAACACATTTTAAGAGACTTACTATTGTACTGGTGCGTATGCAAATATGTTTGGCAACTTATAATACTGCAAGACCTCGTGAGTTCCACTATGCTGCTAAATTTCCATGATGACTGAGTGATCTCTGATGAGGAGTAATATTGACCCACCTCGTAGATGTTGGGATGCCACATCTTGGTGAGGAATCTGAAGGAAGGTGGAGAATAAGGGTAGTCCATTGGGAACTTGATCCGGGCCTAGGACGTACAACAGCAACAAAATATATTTTAACCACTTTAATGCTTCATATACACAACATATGTTCACCTGTCCCGGCATTTTGACTTGAAATGATTCTTACCTTGAAATACCCCCCCTCGTAGTGTGTATTCGGTGGCCCGAAAATGGCCACTTCCCAGTTGTACATATCCGCCTCGTCCACCAGCGTTATTTTAAAGCCCTCGACTGGCTCCTCTTGGAGACTCTTCATTTCCAGCATAAGAGCCTTCTGCGAACTGGCGACATGAGAGCAATCGTGCTGCGCCATACTTGACACTTGGCTTCCCTCAAGTTATTTCCCCAATCGACAGCTGCTGACTCGTTTGTTGACGGCACCGCTTGTTGACGGCCCCGCAGCTAAATTTGACGCCGCACTCACTAGTCGAACAAACCGACACTACCGACGTCAGGATACAATGCAAACAGGCCAAAGCGAACTGGGCTCGAACGCGGGTTGTGTTTGTTTTCGAAATCGGATCAATTATTTAGCTTGCACTCGCTCACTGGCGTAAACAAACCACATCATCGTGGCTGCCGAGTAACCAAAGATTTAGCTGGTCTTCCTGGAAAAGTAGCCGCGGATATAAGCCGTAAATCTACTGGTAGCTCCTGGCTAAATAAGCGAGCTAACGAAGACTACCTCACAACCAGATGGAGTCGGTTTTTTTTTTCAACCCTGTCGCGAATAGATTTTAACGCGCTGGCTATGGGGAAATGGTGACAGGTTTAACAAGAAAACGCAGCGAGTGATTATAAAATATTATAAACTACACAACTAACGCCCTAAATCTTTATATCATGTGGACAGAGCGACGAATGTTGTTGAAAAGAAGTCCTTTCTCTCCCCGAAAACAGGCAATTGTGCAATGGGCTGCTATGGGATTTGTAGTCCGGTTATTGTTTGTAAACATTGCCCTCTAAACTACAAACAGAAAAGACTCAGGACAAAAGCGTCAATAAGATACTATGTCATATCCCACAAATAAATTAAACCGAAATTGAGTAGCATATACCTTATATTATATCTATGTTTTTATGAGGCAACCAGCGCATAGAACTACATTCACCAGTTACAGGATGTAACACGAACCTGAGTGTAGTTTGCGTTCCCGTAAAGCTGCGCACCTATTTTTTCTAATGACATTAATATCATTTAATAAATAATTATGAATCTAAGATTTGATTTGGGACGTATAATGGCGTAAACAGCAGCGTAATCAACTTTTCAATTTTAATTTATCAGACGCCGTGCGTGACATATTTTTCTTGCGACACAATTACGGAAAGCACCTCATTTTAGCTGCCCCTGTTTTGCCAGAGTAAAACGTTTCGAAAAAAACTACAATGTAGCACATGTTGCATGAACTATGTCTTGTCTCGTTTTCTGTTCGGATATCGGATATTTACTTGGCAGCATAGCTATTAGTAACTCTAAAAATAAAAAAAATAAAAACAATTTCGCACATCATGTCAACGCGACAAAATCATACCAGGACCCCGAGTGAACGCCAAGTTCGTGATGGATTCGAAATCAAGACGACGTTCCAGCTCCGGGTCCAGAAGTCGCAGCCGGGATCGGCGAAATAGGTCCAGAGCAAGAAAATCCAAATCTCCAGAGAGAAGGGCGAAGCGCTCTCAATTTGTAGACCCAAAACGATCCACTCGAGGTCGTGCACGGTCCGACAGTCGCGACTCCGGCAGCAGCTCACCAGACAAACGAAGACCTCAACATCGGGGCCGTTCAAGTTCCCGAAGTGATTCAGAGAACGATAGGAGGCGAAGAATTCAACGTGCCAGAAGCAAATCTAAGGAAAAGCCGCCCAGGTACCGATGCTATGTCCAGATACTTTTCATATCTTAGTTGTGATCATCTCCTCTTTTTGTTGACAAGTTTTGTCTGCTTAGAAGCAAGGAGCCCTTCAAATCCAAATGTCCAATGTTTTTAATTGCGTTTTTATGGGGAAACTGTCAGTTACAAGAACGTTTCCAGCCTTTAGTTTTAAAAACATGCACCATGTTTATCGAATCATATGTTTTGCTTCAGTTCTGATTCAGATCATCCTAGGGAGAGAAGCAGAAGAAGCGATACGCGGATCCGAAGAGGAACATCTCGAGAACGAAGGAAGGAAAGGTCTTCTTCGGGCTCCCGGGATGAAAGCAACGACAGGCAGCGAGGAAGACGGAGAAGCCTCAGCAGAGACCGACAGAGACAGAAGGAGCGGGACAGAGACAGAGACAGGAATTCCGAAAGAGACAAAAGGAAAAAGAGTAGCGAAAGGGACCGTGGGAGGAACGAGAAAGACAGAGACAGAGGGAGACATCAGTCCAGTTCAGCCGACTCCTCTGACAGCTCAGGTTCCGATCGGGAGAGCAGGACCATCAAGGACAAGGAAGACAAGAAGAAACAAAAGGAGATGATGAAGGCTCTGGAGACACCAGAAGAGAAGAGGGCCAGGAGGTTGGCCAAGAAAGAGGCAAAGGAAAAGAAAAGGAGAGAAAAGATGGGTTGGAGTGAAGAGTACATGGGATACACTAATGCAGACAACCCTTTTGGCGATAATAACCTATTGGGCACGTTCAAATGGCAAAAGGTACATTTTGAAGCCGAGGACGTTTGATGAGGTCACATTTTCTAAATTGCCTTTTATGTACCGGTACTTTATTATACTCTGTCCTCTTGTTATTTCGTCAGGCTTTGGATAAGAAAGGTATCGGCCACCTTGGAGAGAAAGATCTTAAGGAGAGGAACAAACGCATCCAGGAGGAGAATCGCAGAGAACTTCAGAAGGTTGGGTTACTGCATACAAAGGCCTGAATCATTCTGAAGAAATAATCGAATTGTGATTTTCTTTTTCAACAAACACAAGCGATGCATTCATTTGTATTAAACATAAGCAAAAGAATTACAATACCTCGTAAAACCCTGTCACGGTACATTTTAGTCATGGCGACAACGGTAAAGTGGTCTATTGTAAACCTATTGTAACGCCGATTTGCGTCTGAATTTATTTGTAGGTCAAGCAGCTGCGTTTGGAGCGTGAGCGAGAGAAGGCAATGAGGGAGACGGAGCTGGAGATGCTTCAGAGAGAGAAAGAAGCGGAGCATTTCAAAACCTGGGCCGAACAGGAGGACAACTTCCATCTGCATCAGGCCAAACTGCGGTACGTCGCTGTCACGGCTGAAATCAAAGTCCAACAAGAATGTGTTATTCGCACCCCAAAAATTGTAATTACAAACGCGTTTGTCCAGGTCTAAGATTAGAATCCGCGATGGACGTGCGAAGCCAATCGACCTGCTGGCCAAATACATCAGTGCCGAAGATGACGATCTGGCTGTTGAGATGCATGAACCGTACACCTTCCTCAATGGGCTGACAGTCACAGACATGGATGACCTACTGGAGGATATTAAGGTTGGTGCTCTGGTTCCACTTGAGGGCAGCACAGCGGGGTAGAGGTTAGCACATATACAATTTCTAGTGAGGGTCTGGGTTCAAATCTTTGTTAAACTAACTAGAATGACAGTGAAAATGTCCTTCGTTTTTATCTGTGTCAATTAATGTCACACATGAGCTTTTGGGCTTTATTTTAGATTTCATTATTTCAGTATTACTGTCCAGTCTGACAAAGGTAGGCTCCAACAGTTGTTTGGGAATTGTAGTTTACATTATTACATTTACTCTTGCTCTCTGTCTCTGTCTCTCTTTCCTTCTTTATCAATTGCTGTTCTCTGAGAAGGAGGTGAATGGCAAAATTGACATAACTGGGGATTTATTTTTTGGAGTGTTGCTCTCTTTTCAGGTTTATATGGAGTTGGAACAAGGCAAGAATGTGGATTTCTGGAGAGACATGACCACAATCACGGAGGATGAAATCAGCAAACTGAGAAAACTGGAGGCCTCTGGAAAGGGACCAGGTCGATTACTTCCTCTTTTTCACCACTCTTCACTTCCAAATGCACATATGTTAGTTTGAGAAATTCACTATCATTATTATTATTTTTTTTAATGACCTTCAGGTGACCGCCGCGATGGCATCAACACAGCTGTGAGCACCGACGTCCAGACCGTGTTCAAAGGAAAGACATACAGCCAGCTGCAGGCTCTCCATCTCAACATAGAGACCAAGATTCGGGCCGGGGGATCCAACCTCGACATCGGGTACTGGGAGAGTCTGCTTCAGCAGGTCCGAGTCTATATGGCAAGAGCCAGGTATGAATGTGGTCATTCCATGTTTTGTTTTGTTTTTTTTTTTTTTTATGTGCAGCTGAAATGAAATGAACACATAGACAGATAAAAGTAACCCAATCTGCTCAAAATCCAGAGCTACAAGCAAGTGGTTTAGGAAATCAACCCAGCATTTTTTTTAATGCGTAGCAGTTGACAATTAGTGCGTACATTGAAATGTGTTTGTGTGACAGGCTGAGAGAGCGACACCAGGATGTGCTGCGTCAGAAGTTGTTTAAACTGAAGCAGGAACAAGGCGTAGACAGCGAACCTTTGTTCCCCATCATTAAAGAGGAGCCAAAGAGTGACGACACGTAAGTCAATCAGTGGACTCCAGCAATAATGTGCAACTAATGAGATCTTCATTCATCATACGAGACTGTGTCGCTCGTTACTGTCGTAACACATGTCAGATTACACCAAACCGCCGTGGCTCGATGAAGTGAAGTTCATGGTGAGTGTCTTCACAGTGACAACAGAGCGGGAGGTCGATCGGGAGAGTCAACCTCGGAAGAGCCCAGCCAGTCGTCTTCCCCCTCATCCCGAAACACCAACAAAGGGCCTGCGGGAGAGGACGGCCCATTCGCATCTACGGCGGAACGCAGTGACCGGAATAAGGAAGGAGGAGAGAGCGGCGAGAAAAAAGATGGCGAAGAGGTGGAGGCGGTTTTGACAGAGGAGGATTTAATTCAGCAGAGCCAGGCGGAGTATGATTCGGGTCGTTACAGTCCCACGCTACTCACGTCCTCCGAGCTGCCACTGGACACGCACACCATCACCCCCGAGGAGGATGCGCACAGGCTGCAGTTAGCACGCAGACAGCTGCAGGCCACAGGTACGAGATTAAGACGACGAGAATGCGCTTGATTACGTGGAGTCTTGAAGCAACGGAGTCAGAATAGAGCGGCGCAAATGAAGTCCAGTGGGGGATTTGAGATTGTGCTTTTCAAGATCCAAGTCATCGTTCAATTGTTTGTTTTGACACCCTGGCATCAACTTGATCCGTCGACTCACCTCATGTCGCAACAAGCAACAGTTTAGCCTAAGGAATACGTCTTGAAAGGAAAAGGTTTTTTAAGCTGTTTAAAGCCACTCCCAGTTTCAAACTGTTTCACGTTTCCTATTTAAAACAACCTCAGCAAACACGTAATTTACCAATCTGCTTGCTTAATGTTAATCCTAAACAACATCTATGTTCCAGTGCTATAACCCTTTAACCAGCTGATTGAACACAATGCAGCAAATGTGCCCACAGATAATGTAATATTACTAAGAGTCATAAAGTCTTTGCCATCTGTGCAAGAATGAGGCATATTACTGCTGAACTGATGAGCTAAGAAGAGTTGACGATTTGAAATTCGAGCGTTTTGAGGTACGACCGCAGTCATGGGACAAATGGAACTTGTATCTCAAGGCACCGCTGGCCAAAGTAAATTTTAGTGTGGCATACCGCAATATTGTTGATCACGTCGATCTTTCCATCAGGTGACGCCAGCGAGAGTGCCGAGGACGCCTTTGTGCGTCGAGCCAAAGAAGGAATGGGCAACGACGAGTCCCAGTTCAGCGTGGAGATTCCCGTCACAGGCAAGATGTACCTGTGGGCAGACAAATACCGACCCAGAAAACCCCGCTTCTTCAACAGGGTCCATACCGGTTTTGAGTGGAACAAATACAACCAGACCCATTACGACTTTGACAACCCCCCGCCGAAGATCGTCCAGGGGTATAAGTTTAATATTTTCTACCCGGACCTGATCGAGAAGCGCTCCACCCCTCAGTACTTCCTTGAGCCCAGTCCTGACAACAAGGACTTTGGGATCCTAAGGTTCCACGCCGGGCCGCCATACGAGGACATCGCCTTTAAGATTGTGAACAGGGAGTGGGAGTATTCACACCGACACGGCTTCCGCTGTCAGTTTTCTAATGGGATCTTTCAGCTGTGGTTCCATTTCAAGAGGTACCGCTACAGGAGATGAACCTCATGTAACATCCTCATCATTTTAATATTATCAAGCCCAACTTGTTTCCTGGTGATTTGGGGTCCACAAATCTGAAAAAGTGTTAAAAAAAAAAAAATCATCCATTAAAGATGTTTTCCTTTTTTACCATCCCATTTGTTTCTTTTTCTGTTTTGGATGCACCAAATGAACATGATTTTTTTTTTCCCTCTTCTGCTTGGGTAGATCAAATCTTACTCCTAACTTCATCTCGCAAAACACCTGGAGCAGTCTGTGCACATTTAAACATTTAATAGGCAGAATCTCTGAATAATGTATTTTATTGATAATTGTGACGAGATTGTGGTGGTATTAAAGTGGTGCAGATCAGTCCCCACAATGCATGATCTGCCGATTTTCCCAAAGTGTCCCGTAGGCTAATAGTTTCCCAATAAAGAACAATGCAGGAAACTAACACGGATTAGCATACAAATGTATTTTTGCTGAAATCGCCCGACAAGTTAATCTAACAAAATTAACATCGGATTCTCTTCCTGAAGCGACCTGTGTGTGGATGTTGTTACTTTTGCCGTGCTCGCTTTCATCCAGCAGTCGTTTATCCAAGCCACAGTGCATCTTGATGGCTTCCAGTTTATCTGGGTCCTCCTAGCCATTTCCCTCGAAGGATTTTCCTCTCATCCTGTTGCTGCAGTTCGCTGAGAATGACGGCCCGTTGTTAAAATTCCAGGACAAAAAGCACTGCAAGAGCCCGATGACAGCCTGCAATCTGACCGCAGAGAGGCCTTCCGTTTCCCTTTCCCCTTCCCCTTGAGGTAAGTTCGCACCGCCTTTCAGGCTGATGTGGTACTCTGCGACAGTGGTGGTGTGCTCGCGCTTTACAAACAAACAGCCGACGTCACAGTATCAAGTGTCAAGGATGAGGAGTCCCATCTTGGAGGGCTAGAGGAAGCAAACTGGCCACATGGCGACCACCTTGTTCCCTGTTAGTCGTTGCCCAAGTTGGATGGCGAATTAAATTTTTTTTCCCCCCCTAGAGATCCTTGACAAGACCAAAGCCCAGTTGACAGCATAAAATCTAAAAATATATGCTTGGATGAGTTTGTGGGAATGTTAAATTAGCATGAAGAATATCGTGTGCTTTGACACTTGTGTAAAGTTGAAAACAATTAGCAAAGACCATCCTCCTAACAAAGCTCTTACATTGACAGGCAGCAGAGTGATTGTTGCGCAACACTGTGCTCCTAGAACTTATAAACAGTAGTAATAGTCCCCATTATGATAGCGTGATGTCACAATGGGACCACTACTGCTGCTGCTTATACGCCTGTTGTCACCATTGTTCTCGTTTCCCTCCTGCAGTTACTGAACCCCTCTATCCCATTTCCTTTCTCCAGCTATCCTCCGTCCCGTTTCTCTCACTCCTCCATTTCAACCCAACCAGCCAAGCCAGATGGTTGCACAAACAGACCAGATTCTGAGCTCTGTTCAAGGATTTCAAGATTTTGAAACCTTGGACGTCTTCTTATTAGAGGTCGGCAACTCCTGGCTCCGAATTAATTTTGCTACTCGGTCCACTCTCTTTTTTTCCCCATACAAGTTAACCCCACCCCCCAAAAAATTACACATTTGCTTTACTTTAACACAGACACATGCTCAAAAGATAAAAAAAAAAAGAAGAAGAGAAGACAGGTCATTGTTGTGTTAACACACTGTTTAGTGTGTGGGTTTAGGATATCTTGTGAAAGAAAATACTACTTTAAAAACAACAACAATCGGGCAACCAGGAACGGCATGAACAAATAAAAACATTGACAAAATGACAACATCAGGTGGGCATCATTTGGGATGAGTGACCAACTAGAGACAGCCAAGATTTGAGAAGTACACATAACAGCCACATCTGTTTTTCCACATTCTTGGTGAGTCGAGGTAAAACCTGGACACAGGTGAACTACAAAAACCATTTCAGGAAAAAAAATGAAAACGTTCCCCTGTAACAAAACAAAATACACCGTGTGAATAATGCAAATGCCTCCGTTTTCAAGGAAACATGCCGTGGCTTTAGGCTATTTGTGCTTAAAGCCTCAAGACTTAAGTGCGAGTGAGAAATCCATCCGAGCACACGTTAAGACAGCATCAATCGGATTTTCTCTTGTGCACTTAATCACCCAGCTGCCAAATTAGACTGCGTGTGTATGGTGCCTTGAACAAATACAAGACGGACATTGCAATCCAGTCGGACATTTCATGACATCGGCATCTTACATATCGGTTAATCCAAGTATCATATAAAATAGGTTGTATTTTTTTTTTTTTTAATTTCTTTAACACTACATCCCAACTCCAATGGAATTTCGATTTGTACAACAATTAACTCATTCAGTACCAGCCAATTCTGGACCAAGTCTGAAAAGACGTTTAAAAACGTCTTTGGGAGTGAATGAGTGAAAAAGTGTTTTCCACACAATGGCCCCTTTGATGTCAACCAATCCAAGTCTTTGCATGACACCGACACGGGCTTTAATTTCAAGCAGCAAGCAATTTTCCAACAACACTGCATGAAACAAAGAAGGAAAGAAGCTGATCCAGCTTTGACCGTTTCTTTGTTGAAACCGCCCAACATATTGGATCGTTTTGGCTCTTCAAAAGTCACATTCATACTGATCCACACCCCCCCGCCCCCACTGCGTACGCAATTGTCTTAAAATGTCAAACTCGGTGTCAATAAACTGCAAACAGGAAACTGAAACAGACCTCTGCGTGGATACCGTTTCGCTTTCTGTGCTCACTTCCGGCGAGCGGCGACTTATCCGGCCGGGTCTCAGTGCATCTTGGTGGCTTCACAGTGGACCTGGGTCCTCCTGGCCATTTGACTCATAAGATTTACCACTCTGCTTTTTGTTGCAGTTCCAGGGCAGAGGTAGGTGTCCGTTGTAAAAATTCCAGGCCAAAAGGGCCACGAGAGAAACAACCAGAAGCCCGATGACAACCTGCAGTCCGACCGTAGAGGAGCCGTTCCTCTGAGCCTGAGGTAATCTCGGTTCACCTTTCAGACTGAGCTGATACTCCGCCACGGTGGCGGTGTACTGGTCACCTTTGGAGCGCTCCATCGACAGGCAGCGGTAGCGGCCCGCATCAGAGTCTGAGACGTTGAGGATGAGGAGTTCGTCTTGGAGGATCTCGTGGCGAGGCGAAGAGGCCACAAGGCGACCGTTGACTTCCCATTTGGTCGTTGCTAGGTTTGACGATGACGGGCAGGCAAGCTTCACGCTCCCGCCGGGCATGAACCACTGGTTCACAACATGTATGGGGTCTGGAAAAAAAAAAAGTAACCACAGTACATGAAAAGGTTAAGAAAAAAATCTATATTTTAAACATTATTTTTGATATACTTTAATAGTGACTTCGTAAAAATGTAAACTCTTGTTGCCCCTGTGAACAGGCATTCCAATCCACAACATTCCACAATTGCTTCGCATTTCTTGGTTTTTCCTCAGAAGCAGCATTTGTAATGCCGCCCCACAAGTTTTTAAGCAGATAAAGATCCAAAGAGTGGCTTTACCAATTGGACGAAAGGGTTCATCCTAAATAATAATTGTGTGTATGTATATAAATGCGTGGGTTTTCTCCGGGTACTCCGGTTTCCTCCCACATTCCAAAAACATGCATGGCAGGTTGATGGAACTCTCTAATTTGTCCCCAGTTGTGAGTGTGAGCGAGGATGGTTGTTCGTCGCCGTGTGCCTTGCGATCGGCTGGCAACCGGTTCAGGGTGTCCCCCGCCTACTGCCCGAAGACAGCTGGAATAGGCTCCAGCACCCCCCGCGACCCTTGTGAGGATAAAGCGGATTGGAAAATGGATGGATGGATATAAATCATTGTCTTGTCATTTGTGCTTGAGTCTCTCCTGGAAGACGCTCATGAATTTATTCTTCCACCATTGATGGACTCTGTGGCAGTGGTGTCTTGGAATGCCCCCCCCCCAAAAAAAACTCCACTTGGAGAAAGTACAACGTCACAAATCTATGCTATTGGTCAGTCAGTGGGTTTTATTTCAACCACTTATTGACCATTCTAAAGTTCTGAAAATGGCTTGCTCTCTTTTGACGATTATTATTATTTTTTTTGTCTCCTGAAAAGTGTCGTAGTGCACCAACTCACCCGCTGGCGGGCAGAGGGAAGCGTTTCCGTCCCTCACGCTCTGGATTAGTTGCCTAAAAGCCGATCACAATGATTTCACTTTGTTTGGGATGCGGCCAACAGTCATGATGCTGTTTACATGAAAAAAAAAAAAAATGTCCCCACCTCTGTGTACTGGAAATGGCTACGCAACTCCCAGCATCCGCGTCCCAGCCACAGTAGGGATCTCTTGCCCGAAAACAGTCGCGTCCCAGCCACAGTAGGGATCTCTTGCCAGAATACAGTCCAAACAGGACAAGGATCTCCCACAGGTGGCAAGAGGCACCTGTACAACTCCGTAGTCGGATCCTGCGTATAGCTGTCCCTGTAAATGTTGATCCATCAATGCACTCAGAGCGTCGTACGTAATAAACAGCAAATGACCCGGCCGTATATTACCGTGACGTCGGAAAACCTCAGGACCTTAATGGCCTCGGGGGACTGGAAGAGCTGAATCTGCTCGATGATGAACATCTCACCGACGTAGTTTACTGCTTTCAGAAGAGTGCCATCCTCTGGAAACAGGTGAAGGAATTGGGTTTGCACAATACAAAACAACACAACAAGAAAAAAAACAAGAGTTATTCGCTAAATTATGTTTTTGAGAATGTACATTTATGTTGAGATTTAAGAGTATGTTTTGTTTTTTTCCACTTTACTTGAGTGTACCTGAAGGTCGCTTGTCGCAAAAATTTTTACTCCTATCACAAAAAAACTCATTACAGGAACTATGTTGATGTTACAATACGTTTCACAAACAGCGAAAGACTTCAAAAGGCAATTTCTTAATCTCTGGTGTTAGTTCAATTAAGTTAAAAAAAAATTCAGACTAATTCAACACTTGACAGGTTTTGAGAGAAAGACAGGCTGCTGGCGTCATTACGATTATGATTTTAGCCTCACTGTCATCCCCCCCACCCCACATAAATGCAACTTTATTCTCATCAGTTTTGTTCTTGTACAAAGCCAAATGAAGTGAGTGACGACACGCAACTGTAGGCACACACCTGTGCCTATGAACATCACATGGAACTTCTGGCCATCTGCTGCCTCCACTTGGTGCACAACGATGCACGTAAAGGCGGCTCCCCGTCTCTCCAGCAGAGGTTTCTCGCCTATTGGCTGAATAATGTCCTCCATGAGGGGCCTATCTCTGATGAAGTGAAGGGTTTGGTCTGGGAGGTCCAGGGATCGAGTTTGACACTGAGGGGATAAAAAAAACAAAAAACTGATCCAACTGTCTTTTGAAGGACTAACCTCCATAAACAGATTTGGGGGCACTCACAGATCCGGGTCGAGGGTCGGGGACCTCCCCACTATACGCCACCCAAATAAAGGAGGTTTCGACAGGGACCAGCGTCTTGAACTGCCCCTCCGCAAACACTCGGTTGATGTCAAATACGCTGTACGCGCACACCGCAGACAGGTCGGACGTGTCGCTGGAGCAAAAAAATACACAAAAGGTGAGCAAACTGGGCGCTTTCCAATGAATGTAGACTTTCCATCTAAGATTTTTAGCAAACGTACGACTGCGGGGTGAAGATGGCGTAGAATAAGCAATCGGACCAGTGCTTCTGGGGGTCACACCAGCGGTACGTATTCTGGATGATGTTGGGCAGCTGCGAGCCTAGGACAGGACATTCCAGCCTGGCTTTCAGGAAGGATGTCCACTTTCTCTGCAAGGTCCGCCGACCTCCCGTGTCTCCCTGGGAAAAACAAAGACCGCTAGGATGACAATCTTTCCATACTCCGACAGCACTACATCGGCACTTCATTCTTGCGCTTCCTTTCACCTTGGAGCAGCATATTATTTCAGTCGATAAACCAGCTCCATACTCTTTAAAAAATTGCACAGAAAAGTCATTGATGTAAAGAAAAAAAAAGTGCTCACAAAATTTGGGTGACTGGCGACATGCTCGCCATTCTGGGATTCTGGAAACCCTCCAATTTGTTCAGATTTCAAAACGCTTTCTTGATTGTCATTTTTGACATTCGTTTTGAACAACTGAAGAGAAGCTTCATTTGGACAAAAATGAAGCTTCATTCAATGTTGTATTACCCAATTCGACAACACCAAATCACGACTATGAAATACTCTTCGAAAAGGTTTTACTGCAGAAACTGTCAGGTGGCACACCCATTTTACTGCAGCTACCTTCATCTCCATGAAAGCGGCAAAATGTACTTGCCATCAAGAACTCGTCATTTATCACTAAAGTCCTCAAGCATGTCTGTGCCAGTTATCTCGTTAACTTGCTGCTAATATCCCTTCGATCGTGCTTGAAAGTGAGCGTAAAATATAATTGTGTGAAACAGTCCAAGGGGGGCAATGTTGTTGTTGGGTTTTTTTTCTTATTTAAAAAAAAAAAAAACATTCAAAAACAACTTGGCCGATGATGCCATTAAGCTAAGGATTCGTTATGTAACAAACCACGAAGCTCGTTTCAAAACCAACCATTCTCAGAATTTGAAACAGGGTAAGGAACCTTGAAGTCACGGAAATGTGAAGAAACCAGGTTGCGCTACAAAGCAGCGGGGGAAAAAGATATGAAAGCGCTGTGAGGAAACAAGCCCGAGGAAGTCATTTTCTTATTTCACCTTGCAAACACGGGCTACACGGGAAACCACCACCGGTTTCTTGTAGCAGTCGTACTCGACTGCCGTCTCGCTGAAAAACAAGTAGACCTTGTCATCGTCGCCCCAGTCGCTTTTTGGCAACTGAGCCAGGGAGATAAAGTTGGGCTCTGGCATGGAGTGGAGAAGAACTCGTCATTTATCACTAAAGTCCTCAAGCATGTCTGTGCCAGTTATCTCGTTAACTTGCTGCTAATATCCCTTCGATCGTGCTTGAAAGTGAGCGTAAAATATAATTGTGTGAAACAGTCCAAGGGGGGCAATGTTGTTGTTGGGTTTTTTTTCTTATTTAAAAAAAAAAAAAACATTCAAAAACAACTTGGCCGATGATGCCATTAAGCTAAGGATTTGTTTTGTAACAAACCACGAAGCTCGTTTCAAAACCAACCATTCTCAGAATTTGAAACAGGGTAAGAAACCAAGCTAAGGAAACGTGAAGAAACCAGGTTGCGCTACAAAGCAGCGGTGGAAAAAGATATAAAAGCGCTATGAGGAAACAAGAGCAAGGAAGTAATTTTCTCATTTCACCTTGCAAACACGGGCTACACGGGAAACCACCACCGGTTTCTTGTAGCAGTCGTACTCGACTGCCGTCTCGCTGAAAAACAAGTAGACCTTGTCATCGTCGCCCCAGTCGCTTTTTGGCAACTGAGCCAGGGAGATAAAGTTGGGCTCTGGCATGGAGTGGAGAGAAATAAATATTAGTTTTGAGCAGCTGATCCCTTTCCAAAAAAAAAAAAAAAGTCATCCAAAAGGTCAAAATGTCACCATTGAGCCAGGATGTTTTAATCTCAGTGCGAATGGGAGGAGAACTGCGCATTAAGACCAATTCCGAGCCCAGGAAGTTCATTGACGTAGCCGAGTACAAGTTATCGTCTGCCAAAAAAGAAACCAGATACATTTTAGTCATGAACATGAGGACTGAACGATGTTAGGAAAAGATTTTTCTGAAAAATATTGCCATTTCAATTTCCAATCACCCCCCGCCCCCTTGCATTTTTCTTCTATGTACAATACTAGAAGAAATGTATCAAATATATATATTGTACCTTCGCAAAACTAAAATAGGTTTAAAAAAACGTCTCACTGTGTATAATTGAAAAATCAGCACTCAAGCGTACAAAGTAGTGAGAAACCAATGACATGCCTCAGATCATAAAGATTTATTATAGTCTTATAAACTTTGGACCTCATAAGCGCCTTGTCGTGGCCAACATAACCGATTCATTTTCGTTTTTGAGGTGTGTGTGCGCTCTACTCTGTAGCTGTTCCGTTATTTTCTCTCCAGACAATAATTGACCTGCTAATCTGCCGTCCATTGCTGGTTGCACTCCACTTGAATGAGGTTCCAGCCAGACCTCTGTGAAACGCGCGCTGTACACCTCAACGAACCGCTTTTTCTGGTGTTTGGTGACCCAAATATAAGCTTAGCGATTAGCATCGGCTTCTTCTGTCCCTTCTTGCTCGCTGTTGCATGTCAGATACATTTTAGTCATGAACATGAGGACTGAACGATGTTAGGAAAAGATTTTTCTGACAAATATTACCATTTCAATTTCCAATCACCCCTCGCCCCCTTGCATTTTTCTTCTATGTACAATACTAGAAGAAATGTATCAGATATATATATATCAAACCATAGCAAAGTTAAAATAGGTTTAAAAAAACATATCATTGTGTATAATTGAAAAAACAGCACTCAAATGGACAAAGTAGTGAGAAACAAATAACAGAAAGATTTATGATAGTCTTATAAACTTTGGACCTCATAAGCGCCTCGTCGTGGCCGACATAACTGATTCATTTTCGTTTTTGGGGTGTGTGTGCGCTCTACTCTGTAGCTGTTCCGTTATTTTCTCTCCAGACAATAATTGACCTGCTAATCTGCCGTCCATTGCTGGTTGCACTCCACTTGAATGAGGTTCCAGCCAGACCTCTGTGAAACGCGCGCTGTACACCTCAACGAACTGCTTTTTCTGGTGTTTGGTGACCCAAATATAAGCTTAGCGATTAGCATCGGCTTCTTCTGTCCCTTCTTGCTCGCTGTTGCATGTGTGGCTCGTGACTGCTCCCCATCTGCTTTTCGTGACAGCAAATACAGCTTAGATGCCGCCACTGAGGCGAGAAGCAGTTTTACTTAGTGGAAAGGATCTGCACCATGACATGATAGACTCATCTGGAATTACGATTTTAATCATTGCTAATGCACACTAATGCGCTTTTATCAAGAAAAATGGACTTTTCGCTCAGGTGCAATTTCCACTTACCAACCATGATGGAGGCATGTCTTTGGTAAGGATCAAATGGACATTTCCCTTTGCCGTCTTCACCCGTCTTCGCCAGAGTCAGTTTCCCATTTGCGTAGGACTACGGAGATAATCAGATGATTTGATTTCAGACTTGTGTTCATTCAGACCAGAACATGAATTAGTCTCACCATGTAATCACACTCTGGATCAAAAGCATTGGTTCCACACACGTACATCCGGTTATCCTCCGTCTTGTGCAGTATCTTGATATAGTTCTTGCACTCGCTCTGTTAAAAAAAAAAAAAAGCAACAAGTAGGTAGGCTCGATATTTTAAGGATTTCTAATGACCAAAAAAAAAAGTATTTCAACTCACTACAAGATCTTTTCCTTTGTTTTTACAGTCATACTCTTGCTGTTGCGTCGCCTCCCATTTCACCTGAGAAAAGTGGGAGATATTAATCATGTCACTTCTTTTTTAAAACAGATCACCCGTATGTCATGGCCTGTCCAGATCTGGAGTTGCGAACCTTGAGTGTGAGTGAATGAATACCTGAAGCGAGAACCTTATCAAGTCTTAATCTCACACTACTGTGAGACTACTACTACTCCCACCCAAGGCTTTACTGCTATGGCCCTGAGCCATAAACTCATAAATCATTGAGGATGTATGTGGTCGATTTTCAAACTGTATAATAGTGAGGTTGCAAGGCGGAGGAGGCCTTACAGAGGCCTGTTTCTTTGAAATGTCCTCAAGGTCAAGGGCGAACAGCGCCTCCCTGGCACCCAGCAACAGCAGCTTCGTGTCCTCTTGCAGCAGCATGATGGTGTAGTTGGACACCCCCTCCTCGCGAAAGAGGCGGGTGTCATTGCCTGAGGCAAAAGGGAACACGCGGGGGGAAAAACTCAAATATGCTTCATATGTTATTTAATTTTGTGGAACCTCCCGAGAGCCAATCTGGAGCTGAACCACAATGTTATGAAAAAAATATGCGTGCAAAAGTTGGATTTGAAATCCCTGTTTGGAATCTCGTACATGATTAACTCCAGGAGGGTGTTGGATTTTTATTTTTTATTTTTTTTGTGATGTCACCAACGTAAGCAAAACGACACTCACTGTTATAGGCGACATATCTGCGGGGGATGCAATCCAAGGGTGCGTCATCATCCAGCATCGAGGCAAGAGGGAGGAACCAAAACACGCTGATACAGAGCAAGGGACGCATGGCTTCTTTGTGTGAGGGCAATTTAAGATGGACTGTTTCAGTCGTCCAAGAGTACGGGCAACTAGCGTCATCTGTGAATCGGTGACGTCCGTACTAACTGAAGGGCCCCTTCAGCGGTGCCGCTCAGCAGGAGGTCCATGGTGAGATGGAGACCACGGCACCACGGAGACAGACTGGGAAGGGGGTGAAAGACACAAAAGTTGTACAGGCATGAAAATCTTGTCACACAGAAGCTGAAAAATTATCGACAGCAAAACGTGCAAACAAAGGAGATAGTAGAAGGGAAAACGAAAAAAGAAAGAAAGGGCTGTCGCGCGGCAGTAATTCTGTCACGGCCATAGTGATGTTAATGCGGAGCCATGAAAAGCATTCAGCAGGGGTGTCGACTTCGGCTCTCCCGCAAAACCAACACAAGAGATTCACACACACCGAGCCAAGGCTTGGAGGACACGTTAAGAGGCGTGTTTGCAACACTGCTTTTGCAACCCTGGTTTCCTGTATTGTGTAGATTTTGGAGTGCGCAAGCCCAGGCTCATTTCTTATTGACCAATCGGCAACGTGGTGTCTCGCGATTGTTTCGTGACTGATGAAGACAGCCCGCTGGGTGGGATGTTTGTTGGCGCCTGTGCCAAGAGCTGATGAGCTGCAGCATGTCAGAGAATGTAGTTCTGATAAGAGAGTTCACATTTTTTCGGCATGAGGCCAAAGCCAGCTCCCTCGAGAACACACACACGCACACACATTCGCGCACGCATGCGCAATCACGTCTTTCATAATCTGCTCTCAAAATGTCCCCCGGCATGAGCGGAACCACGTGCCTGTTGATGATATGCATCAAAGATATGTATGAGAACGCTGACAGGTTATGTTCCAGTGTTAAAGTGCTATTACGATTTGAACATACTGGTCTCACGACACTAATTAGTCTGTGATCGAGCGCCTCGCCCTTCACCAACATGCACGAGCGTGATTCTCAAACATGGCCGTTCATAATGCCACGCGAGTAAGAAAGTGTACAGTTGTGATCGTCAGAGGGAACGCAGAGCGAGTAATACTATGATAGCGTTAGCATTGTAGCAGTGATAGCATGAATGGAGTGTGACGATGACAGAAATTGTTATCGGTTTGAAGTTTCAGTTTTTGGAAACTCGAGTCAATTTCAAATCAAATCGGTTGCAAATTACTCATCCCCTCTGAATCCTTTCACTCCGCTTCACTTTGATAGTGTATTCAATTCACATTTATTGGCCTACAATGGATGGACAGAGATGGCTGGGAAACGTTTGGAGTCTTCAGTTAACCTAAAATGCACGTTTTGGGGATGGGCTTCAAACCTGGAATGTGGCATTACATACTATTTTGGGGATTTTAGAAACATACTTTTTGATATTTTGACTTTGCCTTTAAATTTCTTTAACTCGCGTCTGCAAATGCTTTTAAATGTACTTTTAATTTTGTGAAGCACATTGAAGTACTCTGTGTGTGAAATGCGCTAAATAAATAAAGCGGGCACGCCTTGCCTTGGAGCAGATGGAGAAAAGGCCACTTAGATATGCTCTGACTGCTATTCTGATCTGGATTTCTTCATTGTGAGGCAGACACGCTCATATATGATGTAAACAGAGTCAATATACGTATTGATGCAAGTCATAGTAGGTCATGACTGTATAAATAAAGCAAATAACATAACATCAACTGACTCAACTCAAGAAAATAACTACACATTATACGACATTTCGGCTACCACACTGTGCATTGCAATTATACTGTATATAAACGGTTAGAGGCTATCGTTAACAAATTTTGAACGCATTCTATCCTGCATCAAGAATAAATAGGCCTACTATTTTGTATCGTTTGCAAGGCTATTATTTTATTCCGCTTCAGAAATATTGGCCGTGTTCCACAATGTGAACAAAAGATGGAAGCAACAATGTCATAAAATCAGCAGGAGATAAAAGCACTTACTATCCATCTAAAACACTTTCAATGACACAGTTTGACATCATCGCCTCGGACACTTGAGCCGTTGTTCTCGACTCCTGTTAAGAACAATAAACCTTTTCTTTTTTTTTTGCTTTGCTTCCAACTAGCCTCGGAAAATACATGTGCTGTAACTTTTGATTTTTAAACGTGGGAACTTGGGACGCCTCTGTGGTGTTCTGAAAAACTATGCTCGGAAAGTACAAATACAGGTCATTCAGTTACGTGCTGTCTGTGGCCCACCCAAAAATGGGTCTGCAACTCACTTTGAAATCTAGACCCACCAGATGAGAATCACAGCTCTTGAGGGTACATCTATGGAGTAACAAGGGGTTAGTTGGTATGATATGCTGTGGTACTATTCACTACCCTGCAGCTCCTCAATTCATATTCACATTCATTTTGCCAAGAGTTGCAAAAAGTGGTGAAAAATAGCACTGTTTCATCAAAAGCAAAGCCACCTAGGCCAAAGGCTAATCGTGGCTGTTGAGTGTTTCCCAACCCTCATTGAGCCAAAGCACATATTTTTTACAAACAAAAATGTCACAAAATGTGCTACATTTATAGATTAGTGTGAAATCTGGGCCTGCTGAGTGTAACACTAATCTATTGTTTTATGAATGGCAACACATTTTTCAGCCTGCCACTAAATGTCACCACTCACCAGCAAAGGCAGATGAACACAATTTATATTATATAGATTATATTTGTTGTTTTTTAAACCATTTTAGTTAAAATGGATCCCTATGGTTCGCTGGGTGGAAATCACTGCTGTAGTTAAATATTGTAGTTAGCTCGAGTTATTTTCACGTTGATCCACAAGCAAAAATACACAAGGACAGCGCAGTGATGCAAGGATTTGTAGAGTCAACATTAAATTAATCACTTACCTGCACCTGAACACGCCCTGCACATTCGGAAAAAAAAAAAACAGAATTGCCACCTGTTTTGCTTTCTAAACTTGGAATGCGCATTAACCCAAGCATGTGAACAGACAATTATAAATTAATGACTTAGCTGCGATTCGACACGCCTGTACATCAAAAGTAGGGTTAAATAACAAATTAATAGTGGGGGGGGGGAAATAAGATTTATTTACGTTTAATCGTCGCACGCAAGGAGTGATGTGTGGCGTCGTTACTTCCTGTCAGAAGCGACGAAGCAAAAACAGCCCCACAAAAATGATTTTTTTTCTTTCCCCTCAAAAAGAAGCAGATATTCCTTCTTGTAGAAAGACGTCCAGTACTCTTGTGGTGGTAAGGAAGCGCGGTGTAAATAGATGCTGGTGCGGCTTAAGACGGACGCGTCTGTTCCTCGCAGTCTTTCTTGTTTCTTGTCAAGGCAGCGTTAAGACGGTAAAAGGTGCTGAACTCTGTCCTCATTTAATCCACCCCGCACACTTTTGCACACATTCTTGCACTAGTCTACGCTACTACGGCGTGTGTAGAAAACAATTGAGATTAACTGGGGGGGGCGGTCAGGTTTGGCATGGCCCCACCTTTTTCACACAACAAGCCCAAACAGGCGTGAGCGAGAGACAACCGTTTCGAAGTGCTGGGAGTTTTTTCCACTCCGGGCCCCCCCGCCCAACTTTTTCGCTATTATCCAATTCGGTTTATCTGCTCGAGGGTCGCGGGCATGCTGGACCCTATCCCAGCTGTATTCGGGCAGCAGGCGGGGTACGCCCTGAATTGGTTGCCAGCCAATCGCAGGGCACACATAGAGGAACAACAATTCGTACTCACAATCAAAACCGAGGGACAATTTAGAGAGTCCATTAACCTGCCATGCATGTTTTTTGTTGTTGTTGTTGTTGTTGTGTGCGTGTGCGCGTGTGTGTTTGAATTTCTACTCGTTTTAGAGTGCATAGCTCAATAGCGCCTACCCGTGGGAAGGAGCTGGAAGTGGCGGTGACCAGGATGTTGATGCCGCGGCATAACGGAAGTGACGTAGGGTTCTGTTACAAAATACGCTCGCCCTTTCGCGAGACCACTCAATAATTATTTCCTAATTAGTACTGAATGGATTGAATACTCAACCTAGTACGCCTGTCCTTAGATTAACGGGACTAGAACATTATTTATTAAATCGTCGTACGAGGATAAACTTGGTGCGCGTTGAAGCTTCTTAACTCGCTAGCCGCTAACACGGAGACACATCTGTTAGCAGGAGATAGCAACGTGCACCGATTATCGTGCGGAAAGAAAAATGTTTGCAAGAATGACAGCCGAGTACCTGGAGGAACTATGTGAAATAAAAGAGGAGAACGAGCAACAACATCAACGGCTGGACGCTGTTGGCAAGGAGCTTCCTGTTGTGCGACACACAGCAGGTTCGTTTGTTTAGTAACTAACTACTTTTCATTGTTAATGGACACATATGTCAACACTGTTCCTTAAAAACATTGTGTATGAATTGTGTGTATAAGTGTGTGTTCATAAATGCTGCCCTCAGATGGTGCTGTGTGATTTGTTGTATACATCATGAAACCTGTTCATTTTTAACATGTGTATTTTACAACACGTTGAATTTTTATTTTATTTGCCAGTAGCACGTAACATTGGAACACATTTCTAGCATGTCAATTCATTTCATTGGGGGAATTTGGGTTCTTTTTCAAATCGTTTGAATTCAGTCATGGAACAAATCAATCTCGTTAGTCAAGGTACCAGTCCAGAAACAGTAATATACAATATCAAAGGCACAGCATGAAATTTGATGGAACCAAAGTGTTTGTCTTTGCAGGTGCAGATGTCAGTGAAAAATATCTTGGTCGTTGGGAGCAGGAGACAGATTTCCTTCAAATTAAAAAGGAGGAGGAGGATGAACTGCCTTACATGACAGAGGAGGAAAAGCCCATTCACATTAAAAAAGTGGAGGATGAGGAGGAGGATATTGACAAGTCATTATTGACCTTCGTCTTTTTAAAGAATGAAGATAAAGACAATGGTGAGAGTGAGGAGAACAGAGGGGCAAGCAGCAGCTCAAATCAACACATGACAACAGAAGGTGATGCAGACCATGGTGGACCATCCCAAGAGCATCATGATGACACAATGTCAGACTCTCCTGACACTGACGATGATGATGATGGTGTTGGTGGTGGGGATGATGACAAAGATGAAGACTATTGTTATGTAGAAGAAGAAGAAGACAATGACGACGATGAAGACGACAAACATGAACTCTTTGAATGTTCTCAGTGTGGAAAAAAATTTCGATCAAAGTCGTATTTGAATACTCACGTGAAGATACACAGTGGGGAAAAACCTTTCATCTGCTCAATTTGTGGTAAAACATTTTCTTCAAAGAAACTTTTAAAAAGTCACACAAGAACACACAGTGGAGAAAAGCCTTTCGTATGCTCAGTTTGTGGTAAAAGATTCTCTGTGAAGACAGTTTTAATAAGTCACACAAGAACACACACCGGAGAGAAGCCTTTTTCCTGCTCAGATTGTGGCAAAAGTTTTTCGACACGCACAACTTTACGAAAGCACATGAAAACACACACTGGAGAAAAACCTTTTGCCTGCTCAATTTGTGGTAAAAGATTCAATGTCAAGGGACATTTAACAAGACACGCAACTACACACAGCGGAGAAAAACCTTTTGCCTGCTCCGTTTGTGGCCAAAGATTCTCTCAAAGCAGTAATTTGAAAACGCACAGAAGAACACACACGGGAGAGAAACCTTTTCCCTGCACAATTTGTTCCAAAAGATTCTCAAGTAAACAGCAGCTTCAGATACACAAGTGTTCTGGTGGGAGTCGAAGTTGAGGATGTAAAAAAAAAAAAAACAAAACTTATGTGTATAAATTTGTTAATTTTGGAATAAAATACCACGGTAAGCCAATTTGATCCGTGACAGAAGAACCATTTTTTTTGTTGCGATGTTGATTTTTTTTTCTGTCTCTGCCTATTACAAATCAAAAATCTTAAAAAAACAAAGAAACAAATGCTTTCAATCAGGGTTACCTGAAAAGCACAATTAATCACCCATGCTGGAATGCAGGTATAAAATGTGGAATAAGAATACAAAATATAAAAACGGGTTTCCTCCAACTTTCCAAAGACATGCGCGGTTGGTTAATTGAACACTATATCAGGGTGCTACCTATGGGGCCTGTCTTGAAATCAACTCCCTGGGAAGTGATTTAAAAATGTCAATATTTGCAAATATTTATAGTAATAGTGTTGCATGTTGATGTTCAACTGTTTCCGACCATATTAGGTCATTGTTGAAAATTACTGTGCAAGACCATGATCTGTGTCTTAACATACATAAATGTATTTAAGTATAAACAAATTTTGGCGAATTTATTTGCGAAGGGTGTATGAAACCAGCAGCCCTTTCCATTTATGAGCCCTTAAGTAGCAGCTCTCTTTTGCAGAAAAGTGTGTGACCCCTGTAAGTGCGAATGGTTGTGTTCTTGTGTGCCCGATGAGTGGCTGGCAACCAGTTCAGTATGTAGCCCGCCTGCTGCCCGAAAACGGCTGATATAGCCCCCAGCAAGCCCGCGACCCTCGTGAGGATAAAACGATTCGGATAATGGATGATAAAGTTGGATGAGGGGGGCGACATTCTCGACCCGCTCCTCCCTTATTGCAAGCAACTTCCGCCGCACGGCTCAGCACTTGGGTTCACGTTTCCTTCTTTGCTCGCGAACGCCACGAGCTTCCCCGCACATTGACTGAACGGACTGACTTCTCGACACAGCGCGCGGACTTTACTGGATCAGAACTTCATTTCAATCTTTGTGTCCGGATAAAATCGTCTCTGTGCACGTTGAAGCTTCTCGGCCTAGTTAGCTTAGTTTAGCTTTTAGCTCGCTCGGCGCTAACCAAAAAGAGAGACTCGTCGCTTGTTTGTAATCAACAGATAACCGTTAAGCAGATATCCAGTAGGAACAACGGCATTGTGTGGAAAATGTCCGCAAGAACAACAGCAAAGTACGCGGAGGATCTTTGTGGAATGAAAGAAGAGAACGAGCAGCATCTTCGACTGCTGGGCGATGTTCGCAAGCAGCCTCGAGTTGTGTTACACAGAGCAGGTTTGTGCACTTCTTCCTGTCACTTGTTTAATTGAAAAAAAAAACTCGAAAAAATATACACTGCCGTGTTTGTATTTCGATGGAATCTTTATTAATGTACGATGTTGATGGTCTGATGAAGCGTTTTTTCCGGCTCATCTGCCGAGCACTTGGTCATGTCAAATGAAATTATTTCAGAAAATCTGCGTTGAAGAGAGACCAAATAAAACACATTTTATGTGATATACTTAATTATACCCCTTCCACATACTTTAAATACATTTAAACTAATAACAACCCACTTAAAGACCCCCCTTACCAAACACGTAAAACATACGCAAAAGCAAACTGTAAGGGGAAAACATGCCGCAAATAATGACCTCAGGAAGTAAATGTTTAAAACAAAACGAAAATTATCTTTTTCTTTTTCATTCATTTCAAACTATTTGAAAACATTACAATAAATGTAGAGCAATATAAAATAATACGGTAAACTACGAAAAGTGGACCACTCAGGAATAATGAATACGCCCTAAACTCGAAATTATTTTCACAATTTATGAACCAACAAATGACATAAAAATCATTGCTACTTGCAAATGCGCATGATCTCCTCATGCTTTCCACTTCATCACTTGGGTGCTACTTATTCAAATGATTCACCAGGTCCCTCTCTGGGGGGAACTGGTACCAATTGGGGGTCGAGAACCAGTGGTTGGGGACCACTGGTTTTTTCAACCTTGCCGTCAGGGGAACAGCTGATTTTACAACCTGTGCTGAAGAGAAGCAAGCATCCCGTTTACAAATTGATTCACAAGAAAGACGTTCAGTGCAACAGAATATACAGCGGGCACCTGCACAAACCAAATGTGTTTGTCTTCTTGTGTCATGCAGACATCAGTGAAAAATATCTTCATCTTGAGCAACAGGAGCCCGACTCCCTTCATATTAAAGAGGAAGAGGAGGAGGTGGTGGAGCCCGTTAACATTGAAGAGGAAGAGCACTCACACTTTAAAAAGGAAGAAAAGCCATTTCTCATTAAAGAAGAAGAAGAGGAGGAGGAGGAGGAAGATATGAGCAAGACAACAGTGACTTGTGTCTTTTTAAAGAATGAAGACAAAGACCAGGGTGAGAGGGAGCAGAACGGGGAGGCGGAGCCTCCAAGCAGCAGCTCAGGTCAACACATGACAACAGAAGGGGATGGAGACCGTTGTGGGCCACCTCAAGCAGATAGTGATGCCACATTATCTCCTGACACTGATGATGAGGATGATAATGAAGAGTCTGAAGGAGATATGACATCTCACATCCAAAAAAAATGTCCTCAGTGTGGGAAAACATTAAGCTGCAGGCAGAGCTTGAACGTTCACATGAGAATACATACTGGAGAGAAACCCTTTGCCTGCTCAGTGTGCGATAAAAGATTCACGAATGCGAGCACTTTGATCAAACACACGAGAACGCACACGGGAGAGAAACCTTTTATATGCTCCGTTTGTGGCAAAAGGTTTTCTGAAAATGGACATTTAACTAGACACATTAGAACACACACTGGAGAAAAGCCTTTTGCCTGCAAAGTGTGCGGCAAAAGCTACTCGGAAAAGTCCAATTTAACACAACACACAAGAACACATACCGGAGAGAAACCATTCATGTGCTCAAATTGCGGCCGGAGCTTCTCTCATAAGTCACATTTAACAAGGCACGCAACAAGACACACTGGAGAAAAACCTTTTGCCTGCTCAGTATGCGGCAAAAGATTCTCGGTCAATACAAGCTTGACAGATCACATGAGAATGCACACTGGAGAGAAACCTTTTACCTGTTCAGTTTGCGGCAGAAGCTTCTTTACAAAGTCAAGTTTAACAAACCACGCAAAAGCACACGCCCAAGAGGAAACCATTCAGTTGCAGTGTGTGCCCCGAAAGATTGTCGAGGAACGCTTCCGTTAAGGCCCACAAGTGTGTGGATGAGAATAGCGGTCACCATTGAAGAAATTAAAGAAACCGATTCCTTGTGGTAAACTGGGGAAGTCTTAACTACGAGAAGTTAAGCCACAGCGGGGGACACATGCAACATAATTTTAAATGAACTCACATTTTATGATGAAAAGATGCAAAGCCAATAATTTTATCAGTCACAGAAAAACCTTTGTGATCTTCTATCCTCTGGAAGTAGTGAGCCAAATGTTTGACAAGTTGATTTCAAACATGTACAATGATATAAGATGTCTATAATTTTGTCTGTACTTTCTTTATTTATAAAGAAAAATTAAAAGTGCAACCAAAAAGGATAATCATTCAATGGACGTGGCGTGTTCTTCATCTGTGAGATGGTGTAAACAGAATTTGAATCATTAAATCCGTCGCTTTCAAAAATCCGTCAGCTGACAGTTCAACAGTTGTCATTTCCGGTCCGCAGCTGATAATTATTTTCGCTTTCTCATTCCGCAAATGCAAAATTAATCCGCGTAGCGTGGTTTGACCTCTGCTGGAGCATACAATACAATGTCATCTTGCTATAAGTTTGTGTGTGGGTGTGTTTTTAGTTCTCCTATAAGAGTGTGTCAAGTGGTTGTACTTATAGTCGTACTCGTTTATACTTAGTTATTCAACTTGTGCTCCCAAAATTGTTTTCAACTGGAAATGGCAAATTCCAACTCACCGTAAGTACTTCAGTACCTTGAAGCGATTTCCACTTACATTTACAAATTGATTTACCAGACGTTCGATGCAACTTTATATCCGCATATTGTATGTATGTGCCTCACAGCTGGCACCTGCAAAAACCAAATGTGTTTGTCTTCTTGTGTCCTGCAGACATCAGTGAAAAATATCTTCATCTTGAGCAACAGGAGCCCGAGTCCACTCATATAAAAGAGGAGGAGGAGACCCCTCACATTAAAAAGGAAGATCGGCCTCATTTTAAAAAGGAAGGAAAACCCTCTCGCATAAAAGTAGAGGAGGAGGAGAAGGATATCACCAAGTTGCCATTGACCTTTGTCCCTGTAAAAAGTGAAGACGAAGATCAGGACGAGAGTGAGGAGAACAGAGGGGGGGAGCCTTCAAGCAGCAGTTCAAGTCAATGCATGGCAACAGAAGGTGATGCAGACCACTGGGGACCATCACAGGATGGCCTATTAGCTCCACTCTCGGATAGTGACGACATAACGTCACACTCTCGTGATGATGATGATGATGATGATGGCAATGATGAACAGCCTGAAGTTGAAATGACATTTCACACTGACAACACATGCAGGAAATGCTCTCGGTGTGACAAAGTGTTTAGCTCAAAGCAGGGTTTGAAGTATCACATGAGAACACATACTGGAGAGAAACCTTTTGACTGCTCGGTGTGTGGTAAAAAATTCACTGAAAAAGGCACTTTGATAAAGCACACAAGAACGCACACCGGGGAAAAACCTTTTACCTGCTCTATTTGTGGTAAAAGATTTTCGGAGAATGGACATTTGACAAGACACATAAGAACACACACTGGGGAAAAACCTTTTGCCTGCAAAGTGTGTGGCAAACGCTACTCTGAAAAGTCCAATTTAACTCAGCACACAAGAACGCATACTGGAGAGAAACCTTTTATGTGCTCAGTTTGCGGCAAAGGCTTCTCTGTGAACTCGCATTTAACAAGACACACCAGAAAACACACGGGAGAAAAACCTTTTGTCTGCTCAGTTTGCGGCAAAAGATTCTCTGTCAATACAAGCTTGACAGATCACGCGAGAACACACACTGGAGAGAAACCTTTTACCTGCTCAGTTTGCGGCAGAAGCTTCTCTGTCCGCACAAATTTAGCAAAGCACAAAAGAGCACGCTGCGGGAAGGATGGTTTTGGCTGCCTCGTTTGTGGTAAAAGCTTTGCTGCAAAGTCAAGTTTAACAAACCACACAAGAACACACAGCGAAGAGAAACAATTCAGTTGCACCGTGTGCGCTAAGAGATTTTCTAGTCATGCGTTTGTGAAGAGACACAAGTGTGCGGATGAAAATAGCAGTTACCATTAAAGAACAATTTGAAGAAACTGATTCTTTGTGGTAAGCTGTGGAACTAGGATAAGATGAACTGTATTAGTTCCAAAATAAGGACATGTTATTGTGCAATTGTTTTACTCTTCACTACACTTCCTCGGATGGCCGCTACATATTTTCCATCTCTGACATGGTGTACGCAGGATCAAATAATTAATTCCATCGCTCATAAAAATCAGTCAGCCGACAGTTCAATGGCAGAAGTCCAGTTTGTTTTTGCTGATATGCCGACACTCCCATGTAAATAAGAACCCTTTATACCCTTATAATGTATGTTTCAAAAACGGCTGTTAGCAATAAACTGGCAGAATGAAATGACTCCGAAATACCGTGTGTGTGTGTGTGTGTGTGTGTGTGTGTGTGTGTGTGTTTGCTTACTAGTAGGCATGTGGGCACAACTCGTGAAGTCGCAAACATGCCAGCTCGTCAATTTTGATTACCGTATTGATATACAGTACAGTTAACTGGTGGTGTACACGTCATAGCTAGTGTGCAATTTTGTCCAAGTCTTCAGTCAAAGTCTGTACAAGTTCAGTATTGAGCCTGACAACATTCAAGTTCAGTATTGAGAGACAACATTCCTTCCACAAGTCAATTATATATGTCAGTGTCACTAGTTTACTATTGAGCACTCTGAACCCAACAGTTCACTGCCAGCTCTTTTTCAAAGTACAACATATGTTGTAAAGTTATATTTGAACGGCTAAGAACGGTTGAACGTTTACATTGTATTTTCAACCACAAACTGGTCATTTTACTATTCCTTTCCATCCAATGAATGCTAATGTATTATCAAGCTATTCAATAAATATTCATCTCGGCTGCTGTTCTTGAGCTTTAGTCTGAACTGAGACTGGACGATTCATATCTATGAAACTTGCTTATTTTCAACTGCACATTATGGGCGAATGTGTCAGGTCATACTTTTGTATTCATATTACTGCTACCTGAAATTAAGGTGAGTAAGGTATTGGATGTTTAAGTGTACGTCGCTTGCACCCAAGGCGCTGTGGGAAGTCCGAGGCACGCGCTGCCCGTCACCACGGCTGTACAGGTCGATCATCAACTTGTTTCATGATGGCATTTTTAAAACTATTCTGACGACTTACATTATGGGCGAATGTGTCAGGTCATACTTTTGTATTCATATTACTGCTACCTGAAATTAAGGTGAGTAAGGTATTGGGTGTTTAAGTGTACGTCGCTTGCACGCAAGGCATTGTGGGAAGTCCGAGGCACGCGCTGCCTGCCACCACGGCTGTAAACGTCGATCATCAACTTAATTGTTTCATGATGGCATTTTCAAAGTATTCTGACGACTAGCCAACTGATCTACAACCGTGACACCGGCAGAAAGTTATTTTGTGGAGGAATCGACCCACACGCGCCGTCCAAGACACGCCGCCAGATGACAGTTTACAAGTCTCTGGAGGTTTACTTTGTAAACGGATGGATCCAGAATGTAAATTTAAAAATCTTATCCAAAGAAGCAGTTTTGATTATTGGGCGGGTAAGTACACCGCCGGGTGTTGTTAATACCTTGTACAGACACTGCTAGCAGTAGGCTCATTGTAGCTTCATAAATGATATGTTTATCTGTGATTTCCCACCCAAGCTCTGAAAAACGACCATCCACAAGTTGACACCTGAAAATGCTTACAAATGGTACGGCGGAGGGTAAAAAAAGATGTTTGAAGGAGAGTCCCAAGAGCGAACCGGCGAGTCGCCAGCAGACAACCAGCGTGGACTCCAGTCGCCATCAGGTCGCCAAATTGTTTCCAGGTGAGACTCCTTGCTTTTCTCGTTGTTGTAATTCACCTTTTATTTTTCTTGTTCTTGTCACACTTTCACATAGAGCAATGAAGGCCACTTTTGAGTAGATGGAACAATTACATGATTTTATTGATGGTTGTGGAAAACAGGTGGGCTTGCATCAACGAAGCACCTTTTCATTCTTTTTGGATCAAGGACGATTATGCTTTTTTGGTTGTGTTTTCCACGTTGACACACGCTGTTACAGGCTAAGATAATTACATCAGATTTCATGTCAAGACTTCAAAAACCAAACTCGCCCTTAACTCTGACACAAAGGTTTTTCTGTCACAGAAAAAAAATCGTCTTGGCATCTTTAAAAGCTCATCGTAAAATTGACTACACATTTTAGTCATAATCGTTTACACTTTTGCATCTTATTACAAAGCCCCTTTTTCTTGTGTGCCTTGTTGAATTTGACTTTTGAGAGAAGCTTTCGTATCAAATTAAGCAAGCAAAAACATTTTTCTCCAGTGTGGGTTCTCGTATGATTCGTCAACTTTGATTTTTCTGTGATGCTATGACCACAATGGAGCAGGAAAAAGGTTTTTCTCCACTGTGGGTTCTTGTGTGTTGTGCTAAACCTGACTTCTGAGCGAAGCTTTTGCAACAAACCGAGCAGGCGAAAGGTTTTTCTCCACTGTGTGTTATTGTGTGGCTTGTTAACTGTGACTTTTGAGAGAAGCTCTTACCAGTTCTTGTGTGGCTCGTTAACTGTGACTTTTGAGAGAAACTTTTACCACAAACTGAGCAGGCAAAAGGTTTTTCTCCAGTGTGTGTTCTTGTGTGCATTGTTAAATGTGACTTTTCTAGGAAGCTTTTACCACACACCGAGCAGGAAAAAGGTTTTTCCCCAGTGTGGATTCTTGTGTGGCTTGTTAAATGTGACTTGTGAGAGAAGCTCTTGCGACAAACTGAGCAGGAAAACGGTTTTTCCCCACTGTGTGTTCTTGTGTGTTTGGTTAAACTCGACTTCTCAGAGAAGTTTTTACCACAAGCTGAGCAGGCAAAAGGTTTTTCCCCAGTGTGTGTTCTTGTGTGCCTTTTTAAAGACCACTTTGACTGAAATGTTTTCCCACACCGAGAACATTCCCAGCATTTGTCGTCAGTGTGATATGCCCCATCGCCTTTAGTCTGTTCATCATCATCATCATAATCATCATCGTCGTCAGTGTCAGGAGAGTGTGATGATGTGTCATCCCGATGTGCTAGCGATGGTTCACAGTGGTCTCCATAATCTTCTGTTGTTATGTGTTGATTTGAGCTACTGCTTGGAGGCTCCGCCTCTCTGGCCTCCTCACGCTCACCTTTGTCTTCCTCTTCACTCTTTAAAGGGACAAAGGTCAGTGCCGTCTTGCTGCTATCCTCCTCCTCCTCCTTTTTGATGTGAAGGGGCTTTTCCTCCGCCTCATTTTTAATCCTAAAAGACTCTGCCTGTGGTTGCTCAGGGCGAAGATATTTTTCACTCATGTCTGCAGGACACAAGAAGACAAACACGCATTTGGTTTGGTCAAGTCAAGTGTCAGCATCATATTTGTGTGCTTTGTTAAACTGGACTTCTCAGAGAAGATTTGACCACAAAGAGAGCAGGCAAAAGGTTTTCCCCCAGTGTTTGTTCTTGTGTGTATTTACAAAGACCACTTTGAACTAAATAGTTTCCCACAGTGAGAACATGACCAGCATTTGTTGTCAGTGTGACGTACCCTATTATCTTTAGGTTGTTCTTCACTATCATCATCATCATCATTAGTGTTGTGAGAGTGTGATGATGTGTCTGTCATTGCTATGTGCCCTGTGATGGTCCCCAATGGTATGTGTCACCTTCTGTTGTCATGTGTTGACTTGAGCTGCTGTTTGGAAGCGCACCCATGTCTTCATCTTCACTCTTTAAAGGGACAAAGGTCAGTGCCATCTTGCTGATATCCTCCTCCTCCTTTTTGATGTGAAGGGGCTTTTCCTCCGCCTCGTTTTTAATCCGAAAAGACTCTTCCTGCGGTTGCTCAGGGCGAAGATATTTTTCACTGACGTCTGCAGGACACAAGAAGATAAAGACACATTCAGTTTGGTCACGTTAAATGTCACACGGGGACTTTTATTATGTCTATTATTATTTCTATCGTGGTACATTGAGTTAGGGCTGCCGCACGATGCAGCAATACGTAACGCAGACCAACCCGTCAGGAAAAAAAAAAAACAGACAAACAAACAAAAAAAGCCTGCTGGCGGCTCAACATTTGAGCGATTATATGTATGATCGCCCTGCGACCTAAACTGTGCCCGGCTATGTTTTTTTTTTTAGGACAATACACTGCCAATCTTAGGAAATCTCGGCTCAGGATCGGAATCAGGCTTCTGCAAATCTTGCTGATGAGCTGATCATTTCAATCAGGTGTGTTAGAGGAGGGGAGACAGACAAAACAAGCCGGATTTTGGCACCCCTGCCATACAGAAATCAGAGAGTAAGAAGTCTACAAACCTGCTCTACGTAGCACAACGCGCGGCAGCTTGCAAAAATCGCCTTGCACTTCAAAATGTTGCTCGTTCTCTTCTTTTATTCCACAAAGTTGCTCCTTGTACTTAAGTGTCGTCCCTGCACACATTTTCGCACGGCGATCCCAACAATTCCGCACTTGATATCTGCTTGACGAGGTGCTTGTGTGCTTCTCTTTGTTAGCCGCTAGCGAGCTAAGATAAACAAGGCCGATGAGCAGCAACGCGCTACGAAACGAGTTTATCCGGATAAAGTGACTCAGTGATGTGATGTTGTAGTCTTTGAAAGTACTGATCGACGTCCTGTGTGGGGAGGCTGCGGTGCCTTCAACACTTAACCGACAACCATGATTTCATGGAGGGGAGTTGTTGTTTTTTTTTTTTGTCTTCCTCCTTAAGTTGTAATTGAAGCATAATATCTGACGAGGGCAGTCATGTGGCAAGTGTGGCGTTTACACTTCCGGAAATGTGAAAGAAGAAGAACCACTTCACTTCCGTTAAATAATTTTTCCCAATTCAATACAGAACGCACTGAAGCCTTGGCCGTGTACATCCACCACTTCTTTAAACATTTATTGAAAACCATTCTTGGTTGGATAAACTCGCCTCATTGTGCCTTGATGCTTCTCAGTCTATTGACCTTAGTTCGCTCGTGGCGAACAGGAAGACGCATTCGTTTGCGACCCGTAGCTCAACGTAAAATCAAGCGTGAACTTGTCGGAATCGTCGTGTGAAAATATGTGCAAGCATGCCATCAAGGTACGCGGAATAACATTGTGGAATAAAAGTAGAGAACGAGCTTAAGATGCTTGGACGGTTCGAATTGTGCTACGCAGAGCACATTTAAATTGAATTCTGATTACACCATGGTAGTGATGGACACATTAAGTTGCGAGGGAAAATGCGTTCAAGAGTTTTGCAGGTTAGCTCAATACCACTTTTTTTTTCTCAGACCGATACCAAGCAATCAATACCACGAGTTGTTTTGAGACATAACAATCATATTTGCCGATATTAGATCGATATCAGACAGCATTGTCGGCTTGTTCATGTTTATCAAAAAAGTGACCAGTAGACTCAATTGAATTTAACATTTAATCACAAAGTTTTCAAGGGGATTCAACACTTAAAAAAAGTGTGTGTGTGTCAGGGGAATAAAAAAATCATTTATCCTTCATATAATTTGCTCAGGCTTCTGTTATTGAGGGTCAGTTGATTTCAATATAAACATCTGAACAAGTTGTAGGGACGGGAAAAAAAATAGTTTTGCAGAGAAAAATGCTCCCATGCAGAATAGTTGAATGCCCTTCACATCTAACAAAAGCATACAAACATAAGACACACTTTCAGTTGGGTGATCACAGAGGCAGGGGGCTACTCAATTCTGAATTAAAGGCCACACAGACCGGTTATTACCTGTTAAACACTCTCCAATATGTAAACAATTGGCTTTGACATGCAAATCCAGGGCAGAGGGGGTGTCGTGTTAACACTGTGGTAAAGCTCAAAGGTCACGTGTCCAATAACATTTTTTACGACGTCTATACAGGGCATGTTTGTTCAAAACACAGTAAGTCCAATGTTCCACCAGGGGGCGTCCTTGCAAGTAAATTTCATTTTTGAAAAGAAGATATATCACACACACACACACACACACACACACACACACACACACACACACACACACACACACACACACACACACACACGCAGAAAGAAGGATGGATGGATGGATCACACCACGACAACAAAGTTCATGTTTTAACAGGTTGTTGTACTGATGTTTCTATTCAACGCTGTGTGAGTTAAAAATGTCCCTTAGCAGCTCCAGTAGTTGAGCACAAAAACAGCTTGCTCAGAAAAACAGCACCAGGCTCAGATGGCTGTCTCTATTTGTCAGATTTTTAGTTGGCCTTCACGGCCATCGTTGTTGTGAAAAGTTTTGTGCTCAGCAGGGATAGTAAACAGTAGTTTGTGTGGTCCAAGAATCAAGTGTGCCTACACCACCAGTCTTGATCTTAACAAAACTCCGACATCAACACCTGTGGCAACGAAATGGTGGCTGCCATGTGCAGCCTTTGGTGTTCCACCTACAAGGCACAAAATGAATACGTAGCTGCGATGAGAAGGGCCTTGGCATGTTCATTATTCCTGACTGGCCCGTCTCTTCTCCAGCTTCACTTTGAGCTCTTCGTTGAGAGCTGCGAGAGGAGTGGAAAAAGGAAGTGAGGGTCAAAATACAACAGATATTTTAGTGATGACATGGGGTAAGTCAAAAATTTTCTTTACAAAAAAAATTTCTTTATGGCTCCACTGGTCTAAACACGGCTTCCTGAATAATATCACATTTTTGAAATATAAATTAATCATCAAAATCCACCCGTTTTCATCCATTGCACAGGGCGACCATGTTGCTGCTTGCTGCCACGTAAAAATGACATCACAACTGCTCAGGTAACGGCCAATCATGGCTCACCTGTTGTCTGCGTTTGGTCATGTGACATTCGCAAGCTGAGCCATGATTGGTCGTTACATGAGCCCTGAGCCACTGTGATGTCATTTTAGGTGACAGCAAGAGCCAAAATGGCCGCACCCTGAGATGGATAGCAGCGGGTGGATTCCGCGACTGAATTCGTATTCCACAAACGCAATATTAATCAGAATGCCGTGTTTAGTGGGGGACGCATCGAACATTTATTGTAAAAAAAGAAAGAAATACGGTAAAAAAAAAATTCTTTGACTTGACTTTCCCTTTAAGTCCGCTACCTTAATGTAACTGGAAATTACTTCGACAAGCTAATGAATAGCACCTATCTGGCAGCGTTATAAAGCTTAAAAGAACAAACAGAACGGAACAAATTAAACTAGCTGGATGCGATTTACTCCCGCCTGACTGCAGGCACTTACACTGCGCAAGAGGGGAAGGTGATAAAATGAGTCGTCTCATGGGGTTGGTGGGCGAGGCAGGCACTGATGAGGTCAGGAGGCGGCGGTCCGGAGCAGGGGAGCGGGTCAGGGGGCTGCTGGGCCAACGATCTGCACCAACTGTAAATAAATCATTGGATTGCCTTTTTCCGTTGACAAGTGCTTTGAGACTAACCTTGCTTTGGGGGCAGCGCAGGAGCCTTTGGCAGCGGGCTGGTGGGGGCAGTGTGAAGGATCCTTTCTCCATTCTCGTCATTGGCAGAAACGTATGCTGAGGACGTGAAAACATTCACTTACACTACTCAGGAGGGAGGGAAAAAAATACCCCAGGAAGCCAACAAAAATGTTTTCAACTCACTAATGTTCTCCTCATAAGGTTCTTCGAGGAGAAAAGGTTGAAGAGTTCCAGCTGTCTTCTCCACAAGGGCATTAATGACATCATGAAGGGTTGCACAGGGAATCTGTAGAAATGAAAGGAGGGGTTACTGAATTATGAAAAAAAACAAAAACAAAACATCCTCGATGACAATTTAACTGACCGGATTTTCTACATCAATCACATAGCCACCCTGGTCCCGCTGACAAGTGCTTTGAGCCTACCCTTGGTTGGGGGGCAGCGCAGGAGCCTTTGGCAGCGGGCTGGTGGGGGCAGTGTGAAGGATCCTTTCTCCATTCTCGTCATTGGCAGAAACGTATGCTGAGGACGCGAAAACATTCACTTACACTACTCAAGAAGGAGGGAAAAAAAATACCCCAGGAAGCCAACAAAAATGTTTTCAACTCACTAATGTTCTCCTCATAAGGTTCTTCGAGGAGAAAAGGTTGAAGAGTTCCAGCTGTCTTCTCCACAAGGGCATTAATGACATCATGAAGGGTTGCACAGGGAATCTGTAGAAATGAAAGGAGGGGTTACTGAATTATGAAAAAAAACAAAAACAAAACATCCTCGATGACAATTTAACTGACCGGATTTTCTACATCAATCACATAGCCACCCTGGTCCCGCTGCGTTACTCGATAATGTCTGAACACTGATCTGGATCGGAGCACAAACGGAGAAAATGTGAAGCACTGGGATGTTTAGAATTGGAAGGTCATGTTGGCGGCAGCAGCGGTTTACCCGTTGAGGTCCTGTCGTGTGGTGACAGCCAATGAGCTTCCATCTCTTCCGGGACGCAGCAGCATGTTGCCGCAGTCTGGGTGTCTCTCTAAGAGGACTTCGGCCTCGGTTCGCGACACTGGCCGAAAACACCTGTGCCCAACCACACATTGATCAGTAAAAATAGACACACACCAGCCATAAGTTTAGGTCAAGGATTTACTTTTTTAGTTCAGGGACCCCTTACAGGAGAGAAGACTGCGGTGTAGAACGGGATGACGGTGACCCCAAGAGGACAAAAATAATACCTGCATTTCGCATGCGCATTTTTGCGATTTTAATTCGTTATTAATTAGTATTGTTTAATACTGCAAAATCAATTTCGTCTAATTAATCGATTAATCAATCGGACAATCGGTAGACAACTTGGAAATAAACGATAGCTGCAACCTTAGTCAATATATTTGGCGACTTTTCCCTACCACTCAAGCTTCAACATAGTCTAAAAAACAACCCCCCCCCCAAAAAAAAAGAACAAAAAAAAAAAAAAAAAACAGACAACTTGAGCGGAACTATGTTGACATTGTTTTGCATATTCCAATGAAAGGAGGCGGGTCAAAATCAGTCAGTCACATACAACATAACCAAAGACAAAGTGTATTTACTCAGATGTTGGAAACTACTTGCCTGAGTTTTGTGCTTTGTGTGTGTGTGTGTGTGTGTGTGTGTGTGTGTGTGATAAAACATCACTAGCATCTTTGCAAAGGCAGAATTTTCAATGCGGCATTTTGATTGCATCTCGTGATTGTAAAGTGTATCTGGAAAACCTACGGTGGAATCTCTCCCACTAAAGGGACAGAGAGAGGCGAAGGAGGCGCTCGTGTCGGGGTGCGACTTCTCCGCCTGGACCTTTCTTTGTCCACGACTTCCTTTAGCATCTGGAGCTGCCCCGGCAGCAGCGTCAGGCTCGATGGTACATTCAGCTTTAATATAACAGAGGGCAAAACATGTTAAAGGATGGAATAATACAGATAGGCGGTAAGAAAAATGTCAAGTGGAAAATTAGATAATTTACATCGATCACAGAATAGAGGAAACCCTTCCACAGCTCCCTTGATTCCAGGTTGGGTGCCTGGAAACAAAGATAGAGTATCTTTCAACATTGAGCGCCTCTTGAGACGTGCGTTTTAAAGATGAAACAAAAATCAAAAGAAAACGTCCTCAGAATTCACATGAGACGTCAGCAAATGTTGCGAGTCTTCACTCAGCTAGCGCCAAAAGGATAAATTGTGTTTGGCTTTTTCTACGACGCTTTTGTGATTCCATGAAGCTTTTGCGTCATGGAATCCGTAAGCATGGAAAGTGCTTATGGTAATTGCAACCATGCCCGTGAAACACTTCAATGTGACCTGTTCCTACTTCCTCTCCGTTATGATTCAGGCGTCTTTCAATTCCGAGTACAGTACTTCTTATTTATTTTTGTTGTTGCGTAGTTGTAACTTAGTCCATTTAACTCAGTGCAAACAAAAAGGCAAAACACTATGCACAGGCTAGCAAATAACGACGGCATCACACTGTAATATCCCTTCAAGCAAAGAATAGTTGGAGACAAATGGTGGTGCAAAACACGTAGACTGCTAATATAACAATACCGAAAGTACATATTTATCCTCTGCAAAGAATGGCTGATATTACTGCATCTTACTGAGAGTCGAATATCTCTTTGTATGTCTGGAGTATACAGCCCCATGGTGAGGACAAGGCGCATACATACTAGAAGGAGCAGCACAATATCCATTGAATTGAAGCACAAAAAAAATGTGGCAAAAACAGACTTTAGATTCCATTCAATTACATCAATATTGCACGTTGCATGTTTTTCATGCATTATTATTGTATACCGTGCAGTATTATACAGTGCTGTTTATTATTCAAAGAGAAACTTTTTTTTTTTTTTGGGGGGGAAGGTGGAAAGCAAAGAATAGTTGGAGACAAATGGTGGTGCAAAACACGTAGACTGCTAATATAACAATACCGAAAGTACATATTTATCCTCTGCAAAGAATGGCTGATATTACTGCATCTTACTGAGAGTCGAATATCTCTTTGTATGTCTGGAGTATACAGCCCCATGGTGAGGACAAGGCGCATACATACTAGAAGGAGCAGCACAATATCCATTGAATTGAAGCACAAAAAAAATGTGGCAAAAAAAAAAAATTTAGATTCCATTCAATTACGTCAGTCCTGCACGTTGCATGTTTTTCATGCAGTATTATTGTATACCGTGTAGTATTATACAGTGCTGTTTATTATTCAAAGAGAAACTTTTTTTTTTTGTTAGGGGGAAGGTGGAACAGTTAAATGGCATTTCCATTCATTTGAGTGGACAAAGATAATTTGAGATCCAAGATATTACTGTTATTCTGGTTTCCCCATCCTTCATGCGCAGGATGAGTCTGGCTGCTTCCAAATTTCTATCCCGGCTGCAGTCGTCCTTCAGGGACAGAAAGCCGCTGAGGTCCAGCTTCTCTACATACTGCAAAAAGTGAACACACCAAAATTATCCATAATGTTGATATTTCCAAGAGACTTGACCCACCAAATCCTACTTACATGAGCGTCCTTGGAATTATTGAAGAAATACAACGCATTCCCACACAGACATGTCCACAGACGCCTGGGTGCCTGCAACAAAGAAAAATAAATATGTAGCATCTGTTTAGTGTTGTTTTTTTTCTTTTTTTTCCTTCATCAATTCATCTAATTTCCTGCCAAGAGGAGGGAGGGATGGTGGGTGGGCAGCAGCTGCTGTCAGCAGACCACCGCATTAGCCTGCACCTGAGCCTGGCTCAAATGACAAGTCCCGGCCTGCAGTAAAACCATCTTAATGAGAGCCTGGGGGACCCCGGGTTGGTGGTATCCCCCTTGTGTCATCACCACGCATTGATGGACAGGTAGCATCGTGCAGTTATGCGGCAACATTTCAATGTAACTTGAAAGACACCCAAAACACACATCAGGGAGCAGTCTGTTACTATGGCTACAACATTCTCCTTAGAAAGCACACCGGATGTGCGATCCATTCAAACAAACACTTGAATCCATTCAGAAGACCATTAGGAGGTTGTTTTCTTGAAATCGCGGATCTGAAAGGCGCGCCGTGCCCGAGAAGTGGCAAAATCCCCGCAGGTATCAACGTCCACTCGCCTCGCCCATTCCCGCACGATAAGGAAGTTGGCAGCTCGTCAGGGAAACCCCCGGCACGAACGTACCTTTTCTTTGGGTCCTCTCTTTTCCAGATAGCCTTCGTAGTAACAGGGCGGGAGCTGCGCGCGGGTTCCCCCCGGTCCGAGGCGCTGCCTGACGGGTGCAGCCGCCATGAGTGTCGCTGGCCGAGGCACCACCAGAGGACAAAGGGGCGCACAGAGCAATCCGGGTAAGGGACACGCCTTCTCCCGATGAGATGGTGCTGTGGCAATAAGCCAACAGCTGGCTGTGGGCTGTGTCCTGTGCAGATTATACACTGGTTGAGGGGAAATATGTCGAAATGATCATGATGCTTTGTGGACGAGTGACATCGAAGATTGACGGATTAAATTCAACTAATTCAAATTGATTTCATTAAAATAAAAATGAAAAAGTTTTGCGGTGAATTGATTTCATTACATATAGTTACTGTTTTCCCCCCGCCATCTTGCACTCGACAAACACTACAGAGCAAGAACTAAAACGAATACAAACTAAAGCAAAGCATGAAAATCAATAAATAAATTTAAATGGAATCCAAAATAAAAAAACGCATGCATTTTTTTGGAATGAGGAAAGTAGCCACAGTAGATGCAAATTCGACACAGAAAAGCTACAGTAGAGATTTGTACCGCAATCCTCAGAATTATAAAGCAGATGTGGTAAACCACTCATTTATTATGGTGCCATGACTCACCAAATGTGACATATTACACATTAATAGTTGAAATGTTCACCAGCAGGCGACCTGGTGAGCGAGTGGTTGGTTAGCGCATCAACCTCACAATCCGGAGGTATCGGGTTCGATTCCAACTCTGGCCTTCCTGTGTGGAGTTTGCATGTTCTCCTCGTGCCTGCATGGGTTTTCTCCGGGTACTCCGGTTTCCTCCCACATTCCAAAAACATGCATGGCAGGCTGATTGAACACTCCAAATTGACCCGAGGTGTGAGTGTGAGCACGGATTGTTGTTTGTCTCTGTGTACCCTGCGATTGGCTGGCAACCGGTTCAGGGTTGTAAGAATAAAGCGGATCAGCAAAAACGATGGATCGATATGGATGTTCACCAGCAAGTAATTTGAGCAACTCAACATGTAGCATCGGGAGCACTGTTGACAAACAACTATTCTCACTCACATCGAATCCTATATGGGCAGTTAAGTCTTCAGTGGACCACGAACATGCATGCTTCTGGAATGTGGGAGGGAGCCGGAATACGTACGGAATAAGTATAAAAAGAGCATACAAACGCCACACAACAAGGCCGGCGTCGAGATTTAAAACAGTGAACCTCAGACTGTGGTGCAATTGAGAAAATGACGCAATACAGTACTTGAAACAAGAAACACATAGCAGTATGACATTTATTTGAATTAGCAAAGACACCGCCTCCATCCCCCCCTTTCACATACTATAATGCATAAAATAAACAAAATCAAACATGAAGAGGTAATCCACATATACTCAATATAATCCTGGATAATCCCAATTTTAGTCTCCCAACGTGTCAGTTCACAAATGAATACATTAAAGACGGATAGCAATAAAGACACATGCAAAGAGGTTACATTTCGACACAGAACATAAGTGTTAATGCTTCCTTCATTCATGGTGCCGTATTTCAGGGCCTTTTTGGAATTTAGTGTTGCAGTAAAAAGGCCAGTGGCATCTTTTATTTGACCACGACCAAGCAGCACATAAACACTCCAGTCCTTTGTTCCAAGACATTATTCATAATTTTTACCCAAGATGAGCCTAAATACCCTCCTCCCCAACTTCTTTGATTTACTCTAACGAGGCATGGAAACGCACACCTGAACCATGTCCTTATTCCTCTGCACAGACCCCCCCCCCTCCCATCTTCAATAAAAGGAATGGCATAGACGCAGCTACAAGATTAAACCCGGGGGACAAACCAAAGCTTCAAAAAGGCACCATGGGATTGGGGATAGGGGGCTGATAATGAGAAAGGGGGCAGGGCATACCGGGGGCAGGTGGTGAATAAAGACTAGCGGGGGAGGGCATAATCCACTGCTGCGCGGTCTTTCGTCCCGAAAAGGCCCGTCTTTTCCACTCAAGGCTCAAATGGTGATGGCAGAGTTGAGCGCGGCGGTTTCACAAGGGGGATCGTGGCAGACGGGTTCACAGTTCACAGCCTTCTTGTGATTGAAAGCGATTGTGTACCCAACTTTCTTAAATGAATCAACTCAATATGGGGGGCGGGTCGATGGGAAATGGATTATCAGTCGTGTCTGGTGCAGCGTTTGACCCAATACACATCATTTTAATTTCCGTGCTTCTAATTAAAGGTGAAAATACTAGAAGGCTGTCGTGTAGCTTGTCCAGGATCTTGACAAAAACGAAGCACGGGCAGACGATTCAGTGAAACCAAGTTGGCTCGGAGCCCAGAAAACATTGGAAGCGACACTGCCAGCAGCATCAATTGAGCCTAACAAAATTCAGGGGCTGGATGTTTGTGGCTTTGGTATGATACCTATACCATCCATCTCAAATATTGGCCATGGTTGGTATGTATTACACCAAAAAGCGAACCTCTTCCTTGCTTTAAAAATGTTTACGAGATAATTTTGCAGCATTATTGCACTTCCTTTTATAGTGTTGAGCGGAACCTGTTCGGCATCATCTCAGAGAAAGCAGAAACGGGAGTGCACACAAACGATGCAAGAGCTGTGATCAACCTTACAATTGTCGAATTTAAAATGCATGACGCATGATTTGCCCTGTTTTTTTCCTTTAACGTGAAATTTGCCTGGATTTCTCCATTGCGAGACTAATAAAGGTTTTCTTATCTTATCTTATCTTATTAGACAGTCCAGACCTGAGTCTTCACTCAAATCATCTTTCGTTAAGTCCAGTGATTCCAAACCATTCCCCCATAGGAAAGTGTCCAAAACTTCTTAGTCAGATTTTTTTTTTTACCTTAGATTAAAAAAATAGTCCAAATATATCTATTATTTTCATCTAGTCAGTGATACAGTGGATGAAAAGGATTCTATATATTGCATTTTGCGAGAAAACCATTTTTTTGAGGGGAGGGCTAAATTCTTTGGATGGGGAATATGTTTCAGCAATCAATATGTGCCTTGCCTCAATAATAGATTTTGGGTTACCACGAGTTCGTGCCACCTTAGTGAAAAATAGTCCAAAACCAAGAGCATGACCAACACTAGATGGCAGTATCCGATTGGCTAAAAAATGGTCGACATCCATGACGACTGCAGCAAGGGCGGGGTGGCAAATGACTTCCAAGAAATCGTATTTAGTGTACATTCAAGGGGCCTCTAATCATGTCTTGAAAACTTGTTAAGGAGTGTGGAAGCTTCCCGGATATTTTCTTTCAAGTGATAATGCAGTTGGAAAAAAAAAAAAAAAGTGCAAAAAGTGCACAGGTGCATTGTGGGTCCAAGACTTGGGTGTGCCGTAAGCGCAACTTGTTTGAAAACCTTCTGAAAATTTAAACGATGCTTCTTGACCAAACTGTAGAGGAAAGCAAAACAGGCCCTCATCATGAGATGTTTAGTTTTCTCACAAATATGTTGCTTTGAGTGTATAATCCTCCTCCTCACGTCGCGTTCAGTGCTACAGTGGAACGATCACTTCGACGTAGCTGTTGGGGAAGTATCCCGTCTTGCCACGCAGCTTTCCCTCAAACCAGTTCTCGTCAATGTAACTGACCAAGGTGATGGTTTCCCCCTCGCGGAAGCCCAGCTCGTTCTCATTCTCGGGTTCAAAGTCGTACAGAGCTTTGCAGCATGGCTCGGCTGATGAAAAAAGACAAAAAGAGGAATACTGTGAGGCGGTGGAACACATTGACACCCCCCCCCCCCCCCCTCCGCGTTGT